ACGTTCTATATAATTTATATCCATATTAACTACTATTTCTTCTTCTAGATCCTTATTTCAGACAATATAACTAAAAACAAGTCTTCCTATTATCACCCTTGCACCATGCAGAGAGCTATCAATGAAGTTGATTTTCTCATCTCGGTATCAATTAGTAACAGACTGGAATGCATTCATGAACTGTTTTTACTTGTGTTGTATTCTATACTTGTAATATGGGTAAAAAATATGATGTAAATAATTCGCAAAGAAAGGCAGTTTGCGGCTGTACGTACATGTAGGGAACGTGGTGGTTGTGTTTTCAACGAATCCAGTTAGATAGGAAAACTAATTTCTCGGAAATATTGATGACAAATATTGTGCTTTAAAATTGTGTGTGTGCAGTGCGCAAGATCTGGCGGAAAATGCAAAAACCTTAATTAAACATTCTTTGCAATGGACAGGAATAGCGCTGATGAAATGTTAAGCATACTTGTGTTAGGAACCTAGAAAGAAATAGTTTAGGTAAAGATGTGCGTGTGTTGCCGAATTGACTGCTAAGCGACTTAATGAGGACTACATATAAACAGAATAAAACAATGTTGCATACCTTCATAAAGATTTATTCATACTTGAGATTAATATAATGTCTTTTTTTTCTTGGGCTGTTGAATTATTTATCATGGAAATAGCAGAAAATTACGGGTCAATCATTTTCAGTACTAGTATTCCTTTTTATCTAAAACACCAGTGCTGTGGATATTTTTCCCTCTCAACATGTTTTGCGCGGTAGTTAATCTCATACATAAACAAGTAAAGATTGGTGTAAAGTATCAAATATCCGTAAAAAAAAAAATACTGAAGCATTTTAAGTATTTCAACAAGAGTCCAAAATTAAATTACTTTTGGGGTTTTAATGACATATTTTTATTCCGAAGAAGAAAAGAATAATTTTTTTATTCTAAAAAAGTAAAATTTACAAATCAGATACATATATTGTAGATCAACAGAAAAGACTTATTTTTGATGCAAATACATAAATCATGTACATGTATATGAAAATCAGATGTAAAGGATAGCTCTGAATGTGTTATCATCAAACGAAGAAGACAAATATAATATCCTTATAATCAAAATGTATATTTACCAATCATCTCTGACAAAATGACGTAAACTCTACGGGTGCTCATTGAATAGATTTTTTTCACATGACGATGCCGATATGCTGCACAGCGCGATGAATGAAGTGTTAAAAATGTATAATGCACAGCTGTAGCATATTCAAAACAAAATGAAATATATAGTCTAAGTCTTATTTATCACTAATAAATACCGGACGCTCGTAGCAATTGTGTAAATATCTTACACACTCCATTAATGTATTTCTTGCAAAATCCTTTCTATAGATTCGTAAGTTTAAAAATCGCTCATGAATATGAAAAAAAGAGGTATACTAAAACAATTAAGTGAGAATACTAGTATTCGATATTTTTGAGATCTTTAATTCATAACTTTAATAAATATGTTATCAATAAGGAAATATTTTATCGACGCAATAAAAATTAACATTTTTATTTTTAGGAGCACTTTCTAAAATTAATTCACAATCACAAACAGCCAATCTTCAATTTGAAACACTCGTAAACACGTAATGAATTATTAAAAATTATCACCAGAACATTTTAGCTATCAGTATTGCACATTAATGAGAGGAATATCAGCGACATTTTCAAGTGTTCAAAATTATTTAAAAATATACATTTTCCAGCAAATGTATAGCTACATATATAGTCAACCCCCCCCCCTCCAATGAATTGCGATTTATACGCAAACCTACCTCGTCGCCCGCGTGGGGCAGTGGTTAGAGCGTCTGCTCTAGAGTCGCGGAGTAAGGAGTTGATCCTTACGTCGTGGGTTCGAATCCCACTGTGGGACGTGGAGCCCGGTTCTTCGGATGAGACCTTATAAACCGAGGTCCCGTGTCGCAGTAGGTGCTGGCACGAAAAAGATCCCTCACTGCTCAATGGCCGAAAGAGCCGAGTATAGGACAAAATTTGCAGCTCTCCACTGGCAAGTGGTGGCGTCTCCATATGAGTGAAAAATTCTCGAGAGGGACGTTAAACAACATACAAACAAACAAACAAACAAAGCAAAGCTACCTCTTATAGTCTCCTATAAGGCGATGGAGAACGAAAATATTTTTACATTTTCTTTTTTTTTTTTTCGTTTCTTTCTTTTTTTTTTTATTAGGTTTGAGAAATACCTTACTGTTTGGACTAAACATCTGTTATTTAATTTTTATATATTGTTTTTTTTTTTTAAAGAAACGGAGAATCTCGAACCTTCAAATGTTTCCCCTTGCGGTTTGAAAAGGCGGTTTATTTTAAAGTGAATATGTACGTATCGAAGAACTGTGCTCGCCCCAGCGCGGTCGCACTGTCAACATAATACTTCTTCCAATACAACAGGCAGTTTAAATTCAAAATAATTCTGATGAATTTCAAACATTGCTTAGCGCTTCCCAGTACTTTCAGTACTTTGATTAATAGTAGGTAGTTTAGTAAAGGATAAAAAAGCATGTTCTTTCAGCTGGGTACAATGTGTATTTGGTGGAGATCCTATGTATATGATCGAATAAAGCTATTGATGCCCTTTAGTGATACCCTTCACACAAGGTGTTCTAGATGCCATTCTATCCGTACATGACTGTTACATTTTAACCTCCATATCTTACCATTAATTTCCTTGTCTCAAGAGACCGAGATAACAAACGTACCCGATCTACCCAGACAATTCGTTCACATTCCCGCCTCTCCAAGATCCCCAAAACTAGATCGTCTGCTCTTTTACCAAAAAAGAAATTGAAGGTGTCTTCAGGGCGAGAAGGGTCTATATTTAGTAACATAGCAGACCAATTTAGCTTCATGGCATAAGTTATGATCTGCAATGACAGAGTTTATCGCTTCATTGGGTGTTTGGAGGGCATAGTGACAAGAATATTGCATTTTATGTTTTTCTACTACTAGTTTGTTATGTTGGTAGAATCTTTATTACTGTAATTAAACTGAACACAGGATATAGGATATTGATAATTAAACCTGGGTTCTGCCACAATCGACGGAGAGGAGGGCATTCTGTGAATTTTGTTTTTTGTTTTTTTTTTTTTTTTACTGCAGACAAGTAGCATTTGGTTGGAAGTATATGTGCTTAATTCTCAAATACTTAGATACAGAAATCTTTTTACTTCTCTTTCCAAGATTATTGAAAATTATACTGTGATTCTAGAGTTATTATATTTATAAGAGTCGTCTTTCTTTTTTGGTGTTATGGTGGGATCTAGCCTATCGCAATATATAGATCAATATTTGAAAAAAATGCAAACTAATATCTAAACGTACTCTCACAAATGACATCAGACTTCCTTTTCTCTATTAAAGCATACCATTTCATAGGACATCATTGGTAACTTTCTGGGACATTTGTTAACAAAATTGGTGGGGAGGAAAAAAATATTAGGATTTGAATATCAACGAATAAAAACTCTAATCGATTCTTAATTCTTTGCTGTTTGTAAAAATTTCAATAAAAGACGTTCACTACTTTTTGTGTTGACACTGAGGTCCACGCAGAAAATATATAATTTAGCGGCATAAAACAGAATGTTGTGGGGGAAAGTCGACTTGTGCATGCTCAATAATGCGAGAGAAACTTGCAATTTTTTAATCTGATAACAAAAAAATGGTTTATCCAAATTCCTAACCTCCTTTTTAATACATCCATGTGTCTTATTTGGTAAATTAAAATTTTCTGCTAATGTTATGTGTATACATATACTCGTATAGTATGATAAAAATATTAATATTTACTAGTTAAGATTGGGAATATTGGTACAAGTAAGCTTTAAAAGATGAAGAATTCAGATGCATTGCTTTTCAACTTGAAACCTTGCAAAATTATTCGAATGTTATGCTATGCGGAAGAATTGCTTATAGCATCAATTTTGTGCATCAGATGTATCATGTGCTATCTTTAACTATGCTAGCAGGCACCTATAGGTCAAGGAAAACAACAATGCTTTAAACTGGGCAAATTTTATGTCTGATCTTAAGCCAAAACTTTTACAGATACTTAGATGACCCTTTTGAATGCAGTGATTAAAGGTCAAGGTTATATGAAATACATAACAGATGCCCAGATGAATTATTTATATATACATGTATATATATAGGCCGTGCTTAGATTAATTATCTTATTACAGCTTGGGCAATTGTGCTCTTAAGTTCATAATGAAATATATTAAATGTTTAAGATAAAAGAAATCTATTTCACAACACATATTTTCATAACATGTAATATTGTGGGAGGAGGGTTCGCTAGCGGAGGTAATAAACAGGAAATTTTATTTCAGTGGCCTTATCTATACTTCTTTGATCTCATTAGGGCCAGACGTTTTTAACCGACCCTGTGTCGCCTATGATGTAAGCAATTAAACAAAAAAAACTTTCTTATTCATTAAAATGTCAAGGGTTAAATGAATCTGGTTTTGCGAGCTTTGCCGAAATGTGCACATGTATATTTGTCGTCCTCGAATTTCAATTCCATGACTCAAGACTTTAAATTGAGAACAGATTTAAGTCAAAATTTCAAATCAGAATGATTTTTGAAATTATTTTGAAAATTAGTAGAAAAAAAGTCATCCAATGTTTGTATTTGAATATTTTAAAAAATTTGTAACTTTTTAAAAGTGTGTGGATAAATAAATGTTATGGTTCTGTCTGACCTTTGTTATCTAAAATGAAAGAAACCAACAAGTGCACATCATTTAGATTAGATAATCAATAATCGAATATTTTTTAAGAATGAAAACTACGCAGAATAAAAATTACAAATATTATTATCAATGACAAGTTTGTAAGATAACTGGGTAACAGGATACAAGGTGCCCGTTGATGGCCTATTAACCAGTGATGGGGGTGCGAGTACTCCAATACATTCCCACGTCACTGAGTACAGAGGAGAGAAAGAAGGGGACTTTGTTCCTAGGGCAGTATAAAAGTAGATCTGGCACAACTGGCACCAGCACTCTTAACCTGGAAATCTGGTGATATACTTTCTTATTATAAAACTCCGCAGATTGTTTGACACAATGGCGGCTTCTGTGTTGTTGGTTTGTCTGTTCGTGGGTTTGGTCAGTGGTCAGATGATGATGACCAGTGACAGCGGGATGGGTCCGGACATGGCCACGGACGACATGGGTGGTCAGACGGACGAGGTGGCGACAGGGTTACCAGATGCCACAATGATGGAGATGAGCACCACCACCACCATGACTCCAACAACCGAAAAAGGTCAGGGCTGATCTCATTTTTTTTTTATTTTTGTAATTGGATAATTTGGTCCAACTACAAATCAATGGTGGATCCAATTTTCAAAAAGGGGGGGGGGGGTTAAAGAAAAAAAAAATGCCTGACTCAAAAATTCCCCTTTTCTTCATTCTTACTCTACTTTACCATGGAAACTCCTCACTTTTGAAGTTGATACAAGTTGAATAACATTTTATACAGAATATCTTTACGGGAAGCGCCCCCCCCCCCCCACCCCGGCTGATCCGCAATGAAAATGTACAATAATATATTTATTAATTTCTACCGATGCTAAAGTATAGATTTTGTGTGCTAATGAAAATCTTGGTTTGTATTATACAGATATTGCATACATGTAAGGGTAATCTTTTTGTAAATCATACCTGCTTGAGACCCCCCCCCCCTTCCGGGTCTTTTCGACTTTGTTTCTCATAATTTATCTTTCAATGTCATATTTGTGATACACATGTATAATACACACCATCATTTCGAAAAAATTACCTGAAACAAACGTTTTATAAAAATATCTAACACTCTTTATACAAATCAACGTAGAAGTCGAAGATGCGCTGGGATGGGGGTTGGGCTGTCCAGACTGAAGCACCTATGATTCCATGTCATTAACTTAAAGTCAAAATCCCCTTATGATGTTTTAAATGAATGTGTTTTATCTATTTGCACGTTCCAGAGTTTTTGTTTTCATTTTGCTACTCGGTTCGTCAGATAGTTTTTCATTTCTATGCGTGTTTTACAATTAATGTCATTTTTTTTTATACATATTAGCATAAACGCTAATAGGCATTTCCAAGCTTAATTTGTAAATTTAAAAAAATATATCTATACTACGTTGTGTTTATATAGTATACATATTTTTTTATTTACAAATAATGCCGGGGAGTGCATATGTTAATATATGTACAATGAAGTAAACCAAAAAAATATACCCATGCAGGGATAAATCTTGAAAATTTAATCATGTGAATATGCACTGATAAGCAGTCAGTGCAGCTTAAGTTCCAATGAATCTAGTGCAAGTTCTTATATACATTCAAAAAATAACGTCTGAATAAAAATTGCTTTTACTGATTTCAATATTGTGTTATTTTTTCCGGGATTAGTTTCATCTACCGTGAACGGTTTTAAATGTCAAAATACCAATGGAGGCAAACATGGAATGTCAGACACTTCGGCCCAACGACACCTCGGCCCAACGACATCTCGGCCCATTGACACCTCGGCCCCGACGGGTCGGCCCAAGATTTGAGACACCTCGGCTCACGTAAAAGACACCTCGGCACAAACAAAAATGTATTATTTTAAACATATTTATTTGATATTTTCTTAAGTATTTTATTATTATAGGGACTATATGCGACGGATTATATTATTATATATATCCATGAAATAAAAAAGAAAATAATTGAATAATCTTCCGAGAGTAAATTGACGGTAATTAAAAAAAAAATTGTCTATCACATAGTGCTAATCGTTAAACAAACAAGAAGACGCAGCGCATCCTTCGAAGTCTCAAGCGCGTGTCATATGGGGTGGTGACAATGAGGAGTTAATTACGAGCAGGCTAAAAAGAATCAATTAAGACATCTTATTGATCAGGACAGAATACCTAAGGACATATGCTACTGTGCACTGGTTTATAAATATAATTATTATATATAGTTAAGTGTACAATACGCCCCTACTACAAAGTGATTTTTAAGTAAAAGAATTCTAAATATTATGAAATGAATAAAGTTGCATTTTCATAAGCAACAAAATAAATAAATAAATAGATCTCCTATCTCCCACTCAATAAATACAGCAGCTGACATCTATGCTGTCGTTCGTTCAAAAATTCTGAAATTATTTGCCCGTTTATCGTATACATATCGTCATTATAAACATACATACATTTATATTACCATAGTGAATACAGATAATTATTCTAAAAAAAAAATTCCTTGGGCCGAGGTGTCTTTAGTATGGGCCGAGGTGTCAATAATTTTGGGCCGACCTGTCAGGGCCGAGGTGTCAAGCGCGACGGGCCGAGGTGTCGTTGGGCCGAGGTGTCTGTCTACCCAAACATGAATGTGGATTACAAGCACCGGCATAGAACGTTACTTAGCGTGGTTAGCTGAATTAGTGTAAACCGGTATAAGTATATACTACATGATGTATCTAACAATTCCATGTACCTAAATACAAAATTTATGGCTGTGTAAATTTAAACTATTTAACCTCTATCGACTGCTAAATGTATCGATAGGGTAGGCCTAATCTGCTAATGGGTGTCTTGCCAGCCATGTTCAGATGTTAGGTTGGGGGCATGGTCATGAAGTGTCACACAAATTGCAAATGATTTCAAGTCTGTTACCTTTATTTTCTTACATTTTTGATAAAAAAAAATCGAAGGAGAATTGATTATTCTCATGCACAGTGCAGTGAGTGCACTCTTTACAGTGTGCAGATTATGATACAAGTTCTTCAAAGTTTACACATGGCTGTTAACTAGATCATGCCATCTTAGTCCAGGACACTTAGATAACCTAAATGTATCCAAGATAATTCTGTGTTTGATGTAGCAATTAACAAAGGTCATTAACATTGGGAGGACCAATCTGATGCTACAATAATCTTGAGGGGATTCCTCTGTTGTCGGGTATCGTGTACCTGCCACAGGTAACCAACAAAGTGCAGTGTCAGCTATCTATAGTTATCAAAGATGCACGCCCAGAGTTTAAAGAATAACTCTGTCAAACACACTCATCTGCACTGAACATGCTTAGGGTGCCTACTGAGGGGGGAAAAGTTAATGAATTAAAGCAAATATATTCTAATAGTAATAAAATCATTTATTTATGACAATTGACTATAAGGTTGTAGTTTATCTGACTTTTGAACAATTTTGGCATTCAAATTTTTTTTCTTTCCGACAGTGTATATACTATTATATTAGTATGACAGAGAAATATGGACATCAGTTTGCCTACCTATCAAACTTTTTGAGAGATTAGATAATAGAACTGTACAGGTGATTGAACATGTTTTTTAGTGTGATGTAATTTTATTAGAATTTTTGTTTGAGGTCCTTAAGTTTAAATTTGAGTGTTACGATGTACTTTGTATGGGAGTTGTTTGTTACGTTACTATGGTGTATTTTCCAGCATGCTCTGACGCACTTGGTCGGGAGTGTTTCCGGTACAAAGATGAAGACTGCGTTGGTGTGTATGAGACCTGGGCCAGGGCTAACTGCAGTCTGCGATGTGGATATTGCCCACGTACATTGAGTTTTTACATTTGCTGATCATTATAGAATCAAACACTATAAACTTGAAGTTGATAGAAAAAAGGAAAATTTCAAGATAGTTATTATTATGGTGTGTTTTATAGCGTAGCTACCCTTTAGACACCATTAACTACTGCAATCGGTAATTATTAAGCCGTGTTTTGTAGAGAAGTTACCCTGTGTGAACAACATTAACTACTGCAATCAGCTTGGAGCAGATACCTGTCAACAGGAAGTATATGGACAATACATGAGGGAAAACTGTAGAAAGACCTGCAACTTCTGTAGAGGTACTATTTTGTGGAGTCAGAAAAAATCCAAATCATTCGCTAGTTTTATTTCATTTTTAATGATAAAAAAGACAATCATGTTCACTATAAAAGACCATTATTTGTATCTGTGCTCTCAGATTGTTATAAGAAAACATAAAATGTTAATTTCTGTTCCTGAACATTTATTTCCTGGGTTGTTAAATAAGCAATCTCTGGAAAACATACAACATATACATGTATCCTATTGCAAGTTATCTGTGATCTTCCTGTTGTAGCTCCAACTGAGTACCTGGTCTCTAGTACCACCAGTACAACAACACCAGGTAAGTCAACACGTAGATCAGATATACAGGTAAGTAACCTGTCACAGAGTCCTAGTCACTACTAGGACTACAACACCAGGTATGACTGGGTGTCAACTGTACCAGGTAATCAGATATACCAGGGAAATTAACCATGGAGTCCTAGTGACTACAATGTAGCAGTGCCACTGCACCTGGTATGTCATGTGAGACAGGTGTCAGATTTTCTGTTAAAATTTAAAAAGTAATCCCTACTATATATCATCTTATGTAAAATAATACATATATAGTTTGTTTGCAATTGCAGCAAATCCATAGTAAAGAAGTTATTTCATATCCATTTTTGCTAGTTAAAGCTGCATGTTTAATTTTATGAATAAATGAATAAATGATTTGATTTATTATTATTTTTTTCAGTACCAACATCACCAACAACAACGTATAACCCAGGTAATTAATGAGGATTTCTCAGTTTTATGTCACCTAAGGTGATATTACTGTCAAAGTTTGATTTTGGGACTTTCTGTTTACAACAAAAGAAACCCAAAATACAATGTCCTTGATTGAGCCTACAGAGTGTGCTCATATTTCATTCATTGATCAGTTTAATTTTTATATATAAATTCAATTTTTTTTAAACTAATAAATAAATGTTAATTATTTTTCTGTGCATGAATAATTTTTTTTTTTAATTAGTTCAAACATTCAAGAATCAGCTGCTCATTTTAAGAGTAGGTTAAAAAAAAACAGCAGTAGTAAATGACCTTCACAATGCCTTGTTTTGTAGGTCAAGTGAAGAGACCTTTACAAAAGTCCTCATCATTGTTTTATATGGAGCTGTTTTGATTTACAGCTTTAATACTAGTTGAGTGTACTTTAAGAAAGTAAAATTGAAATTTTACAATCACAGTTGCTGAATGGTGCAATGACACAACCAACTGTTGGTATTACCCTGATGAGAAGTGTACAGGACTGTATGAGGGCTGGGCCAGGAGGAACTGTCCATACCGATGTGGATATTGTCCAGGTAAATATATGATTATCATCTGAGTCTGTTTATAAAGCCCCTGTAACAGACTTAAACTACTTGAAACTTGAAATCTATTATAGACCGCACAGAGGGCAAATCATGTTTTGACCCATATTTCTCTGTACCCATAAATAAGTATGAAGAATTTGAGGTCCAAATAAACTTAACCCCTGTGACAGACAGCACCATTATACCAGTATACCATTTTGTCCCTAGGAATGTATTTTTTGCAAAACAAAATGTGATATAAATTAGGGGTGCAACAATACACCAACCTCAGGAAATGATACGTATCACGGTATTCAGTTCACGATACGATACGTATCATGATACATGACAATGTTAAGTCTTTCAATTTTGTCATCATATATATTAAAACTCGATAGGGTTATATCAAATGTTCATATTTTTGATAATTAAAATATCAATTTGTTAACTTGATTTAGATTGATAGGTAGAACTTTGAGTTTTAACAGTAAACCAATGAAGAACATTTACATAGAACTATGGTACATGTAGCCTGGATTCAAAGTTAATATGTCTTATTTATAGAAGGGGGCCTTTCCACATAATCTTCCTTTTAAATTGGAATGAAAAAGAAAGACATTCAGTCTTTTATTCCTTTTATTTACGTAGAAAACCAGTTGTCATATTTCTACATATATATCACTTTCTAGTCCACAAGTTGGAAATACACACGTTATGAAATACCGTGTATTACCATTATACATGTACTTTTAGATCTAAAGGGTTTATCACTTGTCTTAACATCTATAACTTTTAGTCACATTAGGAATAAGATAAAGTCATTCACTGTGTTAAATCTGAGGTCTGTAAGATGCTGGAGATAAGTTTTATTGCCGTCACTGCATTTATCGTCGACCTCATGTTTTGTACGGAAGCCATTTTGAAATTGTAAATGAGGAAACAAGACGAACGATTCGGATAATTCTGGACCGATTGAACGCAACCATGATATCAGTTAAACATATCGTGAATTGAACCGTGGAAAAATATACCGCGATATACCGTCAAACGGTTTGATGGTTGCACTCTTAATATAAATGTGCTATATACATATACAGATTCTGAGGTTCCATTATTTAGACATTTCTTTTAATGTTTATCAGGTTACCTACCCCCTTGTGTGGATCTAGACTCAAGTTGTGACGCTTTCCCAGAAGAAGCCTGTAAAAACCTAACATACAGAGCCTACATGAGACAAAACTGTAGGGCAAGATGCAAAGAGTGTTACTGTAAGTATTAGGGACAAGAAATTGTGTTTAGGATAGTTCCAGCAATAAAATAAAACATAGAGTAACAATTTAATTTTATATCACGATACTGTTTTCATAAACTTTTGTCCAAAATACAGAATATAATATCAACATTTCATACATGCATAAAACTTGTGGCCCAAAGATGTGTTTCTTGTAGTCACAAGTTCCTTTCTTTTATTTGTACACTGTACAGTATAACTCAGTTACAGCAAAGTCCTGGGGACCTGTTAATTTACTTTGCACAGCTATATATCGTCATTTGTTATATCTGTGTAACAAACTCGTTAAAAGTATACAGTCCCTGAAACGTTCTACTTTCCCACTTGAACGGTGAGCGAACGCCGAACGAACGCAGAGCGAATGGTGAGCGAACGCAGAACGAACGGTGAGTGAACGCTGAACGCAACTTGGTGAACGGTAGGTGAACGCTGAACGGTGAGCGAACGCAGAACGCGAACGGAGCGCGAACACGAGCGCAAAGTGAACGGTGAACGCAAGATGAACGATTTATTCGGAATGCCTCTGATCTTTTCCATGCATTGTATCTATTCTATTGTATTCTAATGTCAGGCGGAAAATAAATAAATATTCAAAAATTGTCCTAAGAAAGATGAAACATGCACATTTAGTAAAACTTTTAATTAAGTTTCTTACAAAATTTTCTGCACATATGTATGATGCTTAAATTCAGCTGTTTAATCACACTATTTTTATCGCTGTAAAACATTGTCATTGTTACCGAACTGTAGTTTAAAAGATAAAATTATTCTAGTTGTAAAATAGATATCATGTTTATTCTTATTTGATATATAAAACCATTACAAATAATGATTTTTGAAGAGTACATTACTTACTTATCGAATGAATTACAACGGTTGTAACAACCATATGTGATTGTATGTATTTCCGTGTCAAGGCAATTCCGTGTAAAATGTCGAGAGAAAAATTAAAAAATATTTTGCTAGTCTGTGGACGTATTGCATGTATACACTCGTATTTTAAAAAAAATAATGCAATAATATATTTATGTGTCTTTTCATTTTTTTAATGATGAATTATTCAGCAGACTTCTACATGTATCTATAAACAATCCCTCGTGATTATACTCGAACAAGGTGCTACAAAGAAGCATTCATATTATTTGTTATAGATTAAAATTTCAGAACTTGGTATTTAAGTAATATGTGTCATAGTTTTGATTAAACGGACAAATGAGAGAGAGATTCCGTTTTAGCCCCCTTTCCACAAATGCATGTACATGTACCTGTATAAACAAAAATTCTTTATTTTTATCTAATTATATCTAAATATATCAGGCAGTGAAAGTAACCTTTTTTTTATTTATCAACAAATTCACTTTGTTTGACAGTCATAATCGTTTTTTTATTTTCCTGCTTCAAGTTCACACCATATCCACGTGCTTGTCCTGTCAATCAAAATCATTCGACACTGTGCAGGTGTAAAAGTTTCGTCACACCAAAGGCGAAGTGCTACACTGTAGTATTTCCAAGAAGTTTTACATGTGTTAACATTTCTACATCTGATTCCAATTTTTCCAATAATAAATAAATAAAATACATTGGGCATAAACACTTCAAATGAATTTGAAACATACTTGCTGGCCAATTTAAAATACCACCGTCGGCGCGTGTATATTTTGAACTACTATTGTTTAATGACTTTTTTAGATGCATGTTTGTTCTGATGCTGAAATTTTTGTGCTACAAAACTCGTTAACTTCTTTTTAAATATTAATTTAAATTATACTGGAAATACTGACTAAGTAACCGATCTACGTGGAAAAAGGGGGGGGGGGTCTTAATCATATTGAATGTCAAACATGTAAAGTTATTGTGAAGAAAGGAATTTTTCTCTCTAACAGTAGAATTTATATATGAATTGCAGTATATTACATTTGAATAAATATTTTTTAACCACACTATCAATTTAATTCGCCCCAAAGATATTTAATTAACTGGATATCCGCAGTACTATTTATAATTCTCAGAACTAGTTCTAATAATGTATTTCTATAATAATTGAAAAAAAAACGTCTTAGTAATAAATACTTTCTAATTTTCCTGCAGTTACTGAATTTATTGACATGGATTATTATCTCTCCATTAACGACTTGTCGTCTTTAACATAACAACAAAATGTTGCAGTGCTTGAAGTACCCCTATATTGCCCGTATTTAAATTTAATTTTTCAGCATCGTTCTACATAGGTACATACTTATAACAACATTTATTTTCCAGAGTAATTTAAATAATAACCTAACAGCTAAGTTAGAATAATAATAAAACATATTGTAGATAATTTATTCAAATAAAATAATGATCCTTTAAACACGATTTGTGAATTAGTGAATTTCAAATTCCGTAAATCCTTACTTACAAAAACGACAAGTCCTTTCACTTCGGAGTTCCGAATGACAGTGAAGACTGAACGATAAGTGAACGCTGAATGCAAGGTGAACGCAAAGTGAACGGTGAACGCGAGCGCACGGTGAACGCAGAAAGCAAAACTGTGAACGGAGAGCGAACGGTGAATGCACGGTGAACAAACGGTGAATGCACGCTGAACGAACGGTGAATAATGGTGAGCGAACGGAAAAATGGGAAAGTAGAACGTTTCAGGGACTGTATCTCGCTATATATAGAGAATTTGCAATTTAGATGTTTTTTCAAGTACAACTACCAAACATATTTGGGGAAGTATTATATATAAAAGCTACCTCGGAGAACTAAAGTTTTCGGATGAATAGAATTTCAAATGTAGGTTCTTGGAATAAAAAATAACTATAACTAAATAAATAAAGTTCAATACTTTAAAAAAATGAGATCTTTGAAAATTCGTTATAATAGATGTAAATATTGTTTTTTTTTTATCTCTTTGGACACAAAATCCTTAAATTTCCCTTTATCAGAGTTTGGTTATATATCTATAAAATTTTACACGAAATTGTTACGAAATTTTGCTAAGGATTCCAAAAGACTTTGCTATATCTGTGTTTGTACTAAATGAGTTTTACTGTATAGTGCAATTTATTATCAAAAATTGGTAGGGTTTGGTTGGAGGGATTTTTTGTTATACATATTTGTAGGTACTTGTTCTTAAAGTGTATATGCAATTATTTTTTTTGTGTGCATTTCAGACCCAGGACAGGACCTTGCACCGAACACACTGCCTTATCCTGTAACTACCACCACCTCCACCACCGTCATCACCCCCAACCCAGGAACAGGTGGTGCTAAGCCCACAGTGGATGTGGAGCCACCGAAACCTAACACTGGAATGCCTCCCACCACCACCCAGAGAGTACTACCCACAGGGAAAGGTAGATAACTCTTATTTATATCAGTGTATGAGATGAGGCTCATCAAAGCCTTATTTTTAAAAAAAAAGGTTATAGCCTCCAAGCACGATGGACTTATTCTGTAGTATTATGTAAATTAAAACTGTTGAAATCATAGACTTAATATTTATGATAACGTAGACTTTCATTTGTCGACTTATTCTAGATTTTTCCTGAGGAGAGTAATTAATGACTTGGGTGAGCATTGTGGCGCTTGGGCCCCTTGTTATTGAAGATGGTGCTTGCTTTGCCAACAGAGTAATAAAAAGAAAAATAATATTTATGAATGCATGACTGTTTCAGATTGTAAGGACAAACAAGATTGCTCAGGATTATCTTCAGAAGCTTGTATCGGGGTGTTTAAGAACTGGGCCCTGGATAACTGCCCCAGGACCTGTGGTTACTGTACAGGTAAGAAAAAAATATACAAAAGGCAGCTAGTCAATAACACAAGTGGCAAACAGAATAAGGGAATGTATGCTTACATTTTCTACCTCACACATACTTGAAAATTATACTTTTCTCAAATAATTTGATAATTAGTGTTTCTTTTCTTGTGAATGACTTTCTTACATGGGCTTTTCCTGACAGTACACTTCTATGGATTTTTGGTCTGTTGACTCTTTCTTATTTTGAGTAGTATCTGATTCTACAATATGATTCCTAGCTCTAACATGTCTAATATCTAAAAGTTATTCATGGATTTTTATTACACAGGTGATGTCCAGGAATGCCGAGACTATGAGGAATGTGACAAGCTGCCAGACACTGTCTGTACCGACCCCACGTACCGAGCCATTGCGAATACTGCATGCCGAAAATTCTGTAAACTCTGCACAGGTGAGGAATTAAGAAGGAATAGGACTTTGAGCTGAAAAAATCTAGTTAATCAATTTTTTTTTTCATATTTTGTATATTACTCATTTAGTATGTCCTAAATATTTTAAAACAGATCTGTCTCCAGATTTCTTGACTTATTTAACAGATATCATCGCACAAATATTATACAATTATCGACTCTTTTGGTGATGAAAATAGTTTGTTATTCCCCTGAAAAATATCAATATTGACCAAGGCAAAGCCGAGGTCAATATTGATATTTTTCTGGTGAATAACAAACCATATTCACCACCGAAAGAGTCTATAATTGTTTTATTATATAGTCAGGATTTGAATGAATAAGACATTGAAGGCTGCATGATGATATCATTTTCAGTAACGAACATCTGTCGTAGAAAAATTAAAAATGTCCAGATTACAACTTAACATTTCCATGTTTTCCTTTGCTGTGTGTAAGACATCAATTTGGAAAATGATCCTGCGATAGACTTGCCAAACATTTTTTCTGCTCATATACACAACTGGCTCCGGCCATTGCAGCCGTATTGTTTTGAATGTTCTTATAGGTATTGATTGTGACGTTACAATGTTGCTGCAAGCGCTCTCACCCTCCGGTGAATACGGCCTCAAATCCAGTGAATATGTAGTATTATGAACTTTTTGTGTTTGTATAGATTATATAGGCACTATTTATAGACTATATAATAATGCACTGTATGAAGTTTTGATTCTTCATGTTCACGGGTCCATTACTGAGTCTATAATGTGATTTTTTATGCACAGATAATAATTATATATTAACATGATTAAGAAGACATGCATTTCTTCAAACAATTCAGAATATTTAATTTAATAGAGTTTAAATTTTCTAAAAGCATTTGTTATTTCATATTGAATATGGATGGGATAATTTAGGCACTTTTCAAAGCAACTTTAATGATAAAAACCTCATTTTGGAAAAAAATTCTGTCAATAGATACATGTATTTCAAAATTTAGGATAGAGCTTGAGTCTTTTGTCTTAATAATTAACTGTATAAATATCTCAGGGTGAAGCTTACCTCAGTATCACAAAGGACATCGTTTAATAAGACATAAGCAATAGCATGATAAAAATGCTTCGTGTTTACATTTACCGAGTGCGGGAAAACAACTGTGAAGACGCACGTCACACAAAAACTTAAACAAGCGAAAATGTATATATAAATACAGAGAATGTCTGCTACAGAACACACAAAAATTATAAATCTAAGTTTTGCTTCAGAAATCCATTACGATGCATTGACATTGATCTCTTATTATGTAATAAAACTGACCATGTAATCAATGAGTACTTGATCCCACTCCAGTGACGGTCACTGACTTGTTAGACTGCAGCGTAAGGAAACGGATGGGTGGATTTAACAATTTCATAATATGTAAATATTGACAAGATCATTAAAAACTCTTAAATCTCTTAAATATTTTTTTTACAATAACTATTAATTTTAACAACGTTTAGCATGTACATCAACAGAGACTATGAGGTAATCAATTGAGTCATGTAACACGAGTCCTGTCTCCCCTTAAGACAGAAATCACTTGTAATTGTCTTACGTTGATATTGAAAAAAGGTGATGTGTAATTGTCTTAAAATAGCCATATATGGGTATATGTAATAAAAAAAATTATTGATTTTGACATTAATTTAATGTTAATTAAAACATTTGTCACAGTTAACAATTAAGCTGCTAGTGGCTAACTGTGTAGAATTATTACATTCATTAACAGTATTTAATATTGGTCAAAATGATAAATGCAAGTAAACTGCATGTTATAGCTAATCTATGATATGAGGCATACATACACTGTATAAAACAATGTCTTTATGTATATAGCAATGGCCGTCCCCACTAAGCCTGTTGTTATGGGAACAACAGAGGCCATGATGGTACCAACCAAATCTGCAGGTTCGGGATCAGTTACAGAGGACCAGACACCATCAGAACAACCCTCCTCAGAGTTCGTCTCCATGCCAACCAAATTAGCAGGTTCTGAGGCCATGACACCTTCAGGTCACTAAGATTCTGCATTTACTTTAGTGTATTAAGATATAGTTATGATACAAGACGTCTTTTATGTATAATTAGCTTTGAAATGGTTAATGTTCATTGGAAAAATCTAATTATTAATGAATATAATGACAGTTTGTAAAATAATTTGATAAATAAGACTTAACAATAAGCCATCTAATGATTTTTACTGACTATTTAATTCGTATTTTAGGTGGAAATCTCTTTATAAGTACTAATGCAAATGGACTTTAAAGATTAGAAGGCACCTTCTGATGCTTTTTATTTATTTTAGGAGGAAAAACTCATTCCACCCACACCCATAAACCCCATTCAACCCATACCCAAAAACCTCATGATTCCCACGGACACGGAGGGAAAACATTGCCTACCCTCTTCCCCCCAGTCCCAACAGGAGACGGTAAGGATCAAGCTACTATCATTGATTCATTTTTAGCTCATCTCGACAAAGTCAAGATGAGCTTATGCTATACCCCTGGTGTCGGTGTAAGCGTCCCGGTTAAAGTTTTAGGAGCAAGTCCATACCCAAGTAACTATAAACCCTACCTGGACCAGACTTGCATGGATGATGCATCTAGGGATGAACACTACCACACTTGCTACAGATGCTGGATCTGACCTAGATTTTCCAGATGAGTGACCAGGTTAAAGTTTTTGGAGCAGGTCCATTCCCAAGTAAATATTAGCCCTACCTTGAACAAACTTGCATGGATGATGCATCTAGGGATGGATACTACCACATTTGCTTTGGATGCTGGATCTGACCTAGATTTTCCAGAAGAGTGACCAGGTTAAAGTTTTTGGAGCAGGTCCATTCCCAAGTAACTATAAGCCTTACCTTGACCAAACTTGCATGGATGATGCATCTAGGGATGTATGCTAACCAACCTGCTTTGGATGCTGGATTTGACCTAGATTTTTCCACATGAGTGAATTTTAGCCATATTTTAACCAAATTACCATGGATGATGTAGCAAGGGATGGTCACTTCCAGACTTGCTTTGGATTCTGAATCTGACCTACATTTTCCAGATGAGTGACCAGGATAATTTTTTTTGGAGTAGCAATATAACCTAAGGCCTTGCATAGATGGTGCATCTAAGGATGAAAACTTCCAGACTTACTTTGGATGTTGGAACTGAACAAAATTTTCTTGATAAGTAAATAGGATAATAACGTTTTTTGAACAGGTCTATTTCCAAGTAACTATAAGTCGTACTTAAACCAAACTTGCATAGATATTGATCTTAGGATGTACACTAACTTAAAAAAAGAATATGATGTGAAATTTGCCTTACTTTTAGGTAACATTCGTGGAGGTGAGCTTCATAATCTTTGATTACCTATGTTTATTTTCTTGTAACCTTATTTACTACTTACTACTGTATGGTTGTTTTGCCCCACCTCCCACATACACACACACATATACAAAACACACCCTTATACACAGACTATGTTATGTAAATTCTATGTCAGATCCTGCAACTTTGCATCTTTGTATGAGTTTTGACTATGTGCCTGAGAACCCTTAGTTTCAAGCACATATTAAGCCGAACACATATGCTGTGTTGGTTTTACAGTACCCTTTGCTACTGCTATCTTGTGTTGTGTTTTTGTAAGTTTCTCTTTTACTGATGTGCTATCACATGTAATTTCTGTTTTTATAAATGTAGTATATGATATATGTTCAATTGTCATTTATTACTTATAAAATGCTATACATGTAAAGTAAAAGAGAGGGCTACATGATCTCAAATGTACATGTAAGTCAAGGCCTCAAACAGAAACTGCTCAATTTAATTGAAATCATGCTAAAGGAAAGAGTGCAGAATGTTGCAAAGCTGATGGAAAGTTTTGGCACACAAAAAAATTAGCTTATGATGTCAAAATCTTGTGTATGTATACATGTATATATTAATGTCCTATCCTTTGTGCTGCTTTTGTAACACCCCTGTGTTTTGCTTTAGCTTGTAAAGACAACCCCGATGTGAACTGTACACAGTACACACAAAAGTCGTGTGAGGGGGCATACAAGGCCTGGGCCATCATTAACTGTCCCATCCACTGCGGGTACTGTGGGGGTAAGTTATAATGTGACTATAGTCAAATTAGTTTGTAGTCCTGTTTTGACTACTGTAGTCAGTATATCTAGTTGGTAGTCCTGTTTTGACTACTGTAGTCAGTATATCTAGTTGGTAGTGCTGTTTTGACTACTGTAGTCAGTATATCTAGTTGGTAGTCCTGTTTTGACTACTGTAGTCAGTATATCTAGTTTGTAGTCCTGTTTTGACTACTGTAGTCAGTATATCTATTTGGTAGTACTGTTGTGTCTATTGTTACAAATTTAGATTGTGTTGCTTTTATAACTTTATTGTTAGAATATTCAGCATTGGTAGTATGTGTAATATTTTGTCTATAGTTAGAATAATTAGTTGGTAGTACTGCTATGACTATTATTAGTATGTGTAGTTGGTACCATTTTCATGACTATACAGTCAGAATATTAACTGACTATGATCGATTGTGTAAGTGGTACTACTTTAGTGACTATAGTATGAACATCTATGAGGGATTACCTCAGTGATAGAATTCTTTGTAGTGCAGTGGATTGTAGTGATATAGCAAGAGAGGTTGACTCATTGTAGCATACTCTGGAAACAGTTAAATGGATTGCCTTGCAAGAGGAAAATTTGACTTTGTGATATAAATCAATTGCTGTAGTCTAAATAGGGACAGTGAACACATAAAGAGTATTTTATGATTTATAACATAATCAATAAATTCCTTATTATTTAGTTACCCAGACCCAAATCTCTGAATACTGCTTCACACAGTAGAAAAGAAAATACATTGATAGGTACATTCTCTGTCATGTGAACCTAACACCTAGACACGTGTTAGGTATATATTACAGAGTAGATTAACCAATCAGGTGTGTATACTTATATCTACCTGTACACCACTCCAAGGTATGGTAGGTCGTCATTATGTCATTATTGTGTAACTCTAGTGTAACCAGTTACATGACGCTGTATAAGAGTACAGTTTATGAGTCAGGGTTTTAGGATTGCCAAATAAAGAAACAGGTCAGAATTCCACACTTGTCTAAAGTTACCATGGTTATATAATTAACATTTCCCCAAATGGTATCTTGAAACCTTGATTATGACATAAAGTTTATACAACCAGCACATGAATTAACTAAATTAACAAATTAACAAAACAACTTCAAAATCTGAACCAAAAGTTAGGCTACTGGAATCCTGATCATTGATTTGTTTCAATTCTCTTTTCTGCTTTTTTTTCATTCACTTCATTTTGTATTGTTACTCTTTTTATTGAGTGACAGGTACTAAAAGCAGCTTGAAGCTTTTATGAACAGCTGATGAAGAATCCCCTCCCAATTCTTTATTCTTCCCTAAGAGTTTCCTCTTGTTATGTGGTGTAGATTCTGAATGTTAGATGTTGGAAATTTGTTGAGTAGCAGGTACTGAGAGCAACGTGAAGTTTTTTTATGAAGAACTGCCTCCTGATGCTTTATTCTTCCCTAAGAATTTCCTGCTGTGGTGTAGATTCTGAATGTTTGAGTATCTGTAATTTACCATAAGGACCTATACAAGTGTTAGACTCTATAGGAACAAACGAATACTGTAGACTGATATTTTATTATTCAGACTTGATACAGAAATGTCATCATTTTATATTTCCTGATTTTCACATTATTCATCACTCTGTAAAAGTGGGTAAGAGCCAGTAATGACTGAGATGTTTTTTTATTTTAAAGGAAATTTGCTACAAGCCAAAAATTTAATGTATGGATTGGAAAAATCTCTGAATATATAAATATACTTTGTATGAGAACATTTCAATAAAAAATGAAGTTTTATATGTGACTAAACTTATCCATTGTACTTTTTATAAACATAGATTTGGTTATTTTAAATTTATAAATGTTATTTGAAAAAAAAAGTTTGTATAATCTATTCTTCAGGAACAGTTATTGTTTCCATGTTTTGTTGTTTTTTTTTTCTTTGTTTTTTTTTTTCAGCATTTACTGAAAAAAGAGCCTTTTATCTTTTTTTAAAAATAAAATTAGATAAAATAAAATTATTTTAAATAATGAAACAAATTCAATAAAAAAACTGTGTTCAATAAATATTAAATAAATAGTTACGTACATCATATAAACACATTTCACCACCTTTCATTTGTAAAGTCACATGTTGTAATAAAAATTAGCAAACATTTCATTAAACAGAGACAATAAGATCCTCTTAAGAATGTGATCAGTTTGGTCACAGTGTCCATGTTTCCTATAATTGTAAGAATAAAATGGCCGACAGTTGTCATGAGTTACACATTGACCTGATAGGGCACAGAACACCCAGGGTCGCACAATTGCCTCCATGGTAAAATTGTTCTGCTTGATTGAAATGAGGTCAGATTGAATGTTTGGCACTAAATTCAGACACGCTTGATTGCTTCTGTAAGACAGCTTATCCTGAAGAAGGGCCACCTGAGATTCAGGTAGAATTTCCTCTGTCCTGTAACTTTCTAGGTTTTCAATCCTATCATCCTTCAGTAAAATGTCAAATGAATGGTCTTCCTGCTGATTGGTCAGAGTTTTGAGAATCTGTGATTCAGACCATTTTCTTGGAGGATCATTTTTGAGCACGATCTGAATTTCCTCTGTTTCAGTTTTCTCTAGGATTTTCTGTAGGGTTTTGTTGTCCAGGTCTGATGCAGGGTCTAACCACACAACAGAGTTAAACCTCTGGAGGGACAGATATATCAGGATGGGGGTCCAGTAGTGTGCTCTGATCTCTGGCAGGTTCTCCACGATCTCGCATTGGCTGCAGTTCAGCAGCTTGTACTTCTGTTGAAATGTCAGCCCCATGTCGTAGACCAGGAGCTTCACATTGGGGAATTTCTGTATAAGGACCTGTTCTCTGTTCCGTATAAATCGTCGGACAGTTTGGTAATTATAGACTGAGGTTTCTAAGATTATCACAGGATAGCTTTTGCTATCATCATACATTCCAGGCACGCCAGGTGGCCTTGAAATCTGAATTTTCTCCAGTATCTTATGTAAAGATCCGTCTGAGGAAATATTGTTAAAGGTTTTTATTATGTGTATGAAGTTTTCCCGGGAGAAGTGTGGGCAAGGCTTGGGTTCTGGTTCCTTCTTGGACATTGTCAGCATCTCAAAGTGGGCTGCCCATGATTCTCGTGGACCAATCTCCCAGTGGGCCTCCAGGTGGAAGGAGATTTTATGGCCCAGGAGTGGATGTATGTACATGAAGTAGATCCAGAGGCCCCCAATGATAGAAGAGATGAAGCTACCGATGGCAATGTAGACTTTGTACTTGACCACCGTCTGCTTCAGCTTCTTCTTCATGGACACGGGCTGAGTTTCTTCCTCCTTGTCCTGTTGGCAGTAGATTACGATCCGCCATATTATAATTCCCGTGATAACAGCGAGAATTAACATGACAACAGTAGAGGACTGGTCACGCAGTAATCAGGATCAGTGTAGTGTATTTTGTTTGCCCTGGATTATTGAAGTATTTGAATTAGATGACAAGTGTTGTCCAGCCTATTCCTGAATCTTTCTCCATCTTAATTTAGTTTTTCTGTTTCCTCTGCTGAAGTCGGATGATCAGACACTGTAAATAAACAACTAAAAATTGAATTAAAATACTGAGTGATGTTAAACAAGATACTGAATTGTGGATACGTCATATTGTGTTAGATTTTGTTTCTACTCTTTTTTTCTGTTCTTTTCATCTTTTCATAAATGTGCTATTTTAAAAAGTTATCTGAATTTTACAAGTCAATCAAAGTTTATTAAAAATTCTGACAGAGAAACTCTAAATGATTTATTCTAATTATTAAAGCCTCTATGCCAAATTTAGTCAAATAACAGACTTATACACTGTAATATGTAAGAAAGAGACAAACAAAATTTTCAGAAGCTTCTTAATATTTATAATTCAGCTTTACTATGTTTTGGGCAGAAGGAATTCTCCCCTAACTTTCACAGTGATTGATTTTATGAAATAAATGAGAGATTTTTTTTAAATATAAGAGTACGTAAGACTTTTGATTATTTTGGTCTTGATCATTTTTAAGTTAATTGACAGGTGTATACTCTAGACTACCTCAGGATCTGGTTAATCAGTGTACAGGTTTATATCACAGGGAAAAGTTTATATGAAATTCACATGAATTTCATGTAAATTCTTTGCATGAGAAAGAGACGAAAAACAAGACATGTGAAATTTATGTGAAAACTTTAAGCCATTTTGACCTAATTTTCATATATGAATTTTACATGAAGAGCATATCGCATAAAAATCATGCAGAGAAAACTTCACATGAAAGTTCTAAAAAATATATATGTGAATATCATACAAACTTATTCACATGATCTTCGCATGAAAAAATATTTATATAATTTTTACATGATTTTCACATAATTTTCAAAAAAAAAAAGATAATCACATGAATATCATGTTAGCCACTTATCCCTGTATACATTAATTTTTAATTCTATAAATTAATTAGTATTTTGAAACTAGTTATGAACTATCAGGTTCATTATCTGCGTTGATAGGATTTTTTTTCATAGTGTCTATAATTTCATGCAAAACACTTGATTTATAACTTGTCAAAAATAAAAGTTAAATAATATAAATTGGTTTGCATGTATAAAATTCTACGCCGAACAGCATATTTTAACAATTATCAATGTCTTTCTATAAAGATACTTGCATATTACATATTGATAATAAATTACTAGTATGCTAATTGTTTTGTAATCATTTCATGGTGATATTAATTACAATTAAATGATAAAACATTGTTGAATTTGATATTCTGTGAATGTTTACAATATAAAATAAGAAAGGAAAATTAATATTTTACCTAATTGTGGAGTAGTTCTTCCTTGTTAACTACTGTGCAGTAATAGAAGTATCTGGTCGTTATTCACACGACAATCCCATCAGGCACTGCTTCAGGCCAAATCTTGTTCTCAACAATCCAGTTCCTACCACAGGGTGCATCTGATTAACAGTTTACACATTAACTAAAAAACACAACATATTAATATCATTATTAATTAAAAGTTATAACCTGCCATTTCATACTTTTAATATTGATTTATATATTATAGAGCTTTTAATGTGCATGTATAATCTATTACTTATATTGCTGGGAGAAATCTTAAGTATAATATTAATATAAATAAAAACTTTCATTTCGTACTGATTAATTGTGGAATTTTAAACACAGGCAACCTTTGCTTATATTCAGTTATAGATATTTGAAATTAAGTGTATAATATCATAATTCTTGTTATTAATTGTATACTGAGTAGATGAGAAATAAATGATCATAATTTTTAAACTGCCCAAAGAAAGGATTGTGTTTTGGCAACATTTTCAATTTTTTATGCAGAAAAATGATATATAATCTCATAAACTATTTCAGAGATAGATTCAGTTTAACCAAACAAAAATATATCAATAAAATTTACTTGTATTCAGCTGAATATGTTTTTATTTTTTGTCTTAAAAAAGAATAAATTGATATATTAATAATACAACGTGGTGTTAGACAGACTGTGCATTGAAATATTCAAATTAAAACATGTTTAAAAAGTAAGATAAAAGGAATCTATGTTCTGCTTTAGAATGGATTTCATTGTGCAGCGAAATAAAAGACTTTACTTTCTCTTTCCAGCTAAATGTGACAAAAATTTCCAGATGACTATCCCATCATGCTGCAGTGATCTGTGTAGCTGTCCGGATCACATCCTGACCGGAAACGTACGTGATGCAACAGCAGGAAACGCTCCAATGGCCAACGTTTCCGTGTATCTCCGTAGCTGCTCCTGCCAGCCCTTGACGACCACAGCTGATGACGGAAGCTATCAAATCAAAGGCGTTTGTCTGAAGGAAGGGGGTGTGGCTCGATTTGAATATCCCGGTTACGCGTCATTCCTCAGGGACATTACAGACCCCCAAAACAACAACAATTTCATCGCAAATGGAGATATGGCTCCTTTGGTAGAAACTACATCAGTATCGGGAATGACATCACAAGGGGGCAGTTAGAAGTTCTATAACATTTCTCTTAGCTAATTAATGTAAAATTAATTACTTTGTTACAATATCTTACGTGTTCAGACAAAGTTAGGGGTTTGGGTTCTATAGCTAGGATAATTTACAATTGTAAATTCAATCAGTGAATTGAACTATAGTTGTATACTTTTGTAATTTTTTGATGCTTTTTTTCACAACATTGTAATTTTGTTTGCTTGATATGAAACATGTTGCATATATGGTTGAGTATTGTATTGCTAGATGTGTTTTTAAACAGTTGAGCTCACTTCTAAATAAATTTTACTGTATTATCATAATTATACAATGATTTTGCATTATACTTGTAATAAGATACACTTATAAATGCTGTATTTGTTTTCTTTTATTTGTTCTTTTTTGCTGTTCCTCTTCTGTACTTAAGTTGTAAGCTCTTCAAATGATAGTTCATTAAGAAGTTAATGGTATTTACATTTTCCTCTTTAAACCCATTACAGTAAAAAATGCATATAAAAAAAAGGGCCATGGATGGGCTATTTTGCTTCGTTATAAACATAATTCGTTATATCTGTTAGCTTCAAAAAATGTTTAAAACCCACGGAAAATGAAAATCACTTTGCTATGTATGTTAATTCATTATAGACATGTTCGCTATAAGCGTGTTTTACTGTAATCATGCATTATATACATTAAAATATGTGTATATATTTTATCTTGGATAAGCATTCTACTGTTCATATGTGCAGCATGTATTCACAATTTTAACTTGATCGCATTTGAGGACCATTTCTTTTTTATACAAGTCGTATTTCATCACAGATCGTTTTATAAATCTCTGTGATTTACACATTTCTTTTATTTCTTTTAAAAGTAAATTGTCATGTTTTGTCATTGTTTATCAAGAGTTGAAGTGCATTGTTTTGTATTGCCTTTTTTGAGAGAATGTCGAAATAAAGATTCGTTTTAAAATAAAGGAAGAAAAATACTGCTTTTTTCCTGGTCTGTTTATACATGTTAACAGGAAAGGAGAAAATGTATGGCTGGACCAGGGATGGAACCGAAGACCCCTTCATCACTGGTCAGGTGCTTTACCTACTGAGCTACCCAGATTGATATCCATAGCCTAAATCAGTATATACATAACTGTTAAAGAAAAAGTCTTAAGGCTAGGATGACTTCTTAGGTCACCTATTGCTATCTGTTTTCATCCGTCGTCATCCTTCGGTCCTTTTGAACATTTTTAGCTTCTATTCAGAAACCACTGAACCAATTTCAACCAGTTTTGGTATATAGCATCTATGGGTGAAAGGGAGTAAAAATTATGAAATTTATGGCCCCTGAACTAAGTACATAGTTATGATGAGGAAAAGTGCCTCTTTTGAAATTGTGAATTTCATGGCCCTGGGTCAGGGGTTCTTGTGTTGGGTGGGGTTCTATTGATTAATTAGCAAAAATGCATTAATGCTTTGAAAGTCTTCTCCTCTGCCCCTGAGTACTAAGCAAACAAACTAAATGCAATAATATCAATGTAAATGTAATTTTAAGTAAATGTGCCTTTTCTTTGCTCCTGGGCATCTAGGAGGCAAACAGAGTACAGAATTGTAATAAATGAAGCAAATGAGAGTTACTCCCCTTTGCTAGAAGTTGTTAATCAGGAAAACCTTGTATATAATTAGCTCTTCTGAGCCAAAGGCTCAAAGAGCTAATGCTATGGCCATTTGTGCAGTGTGCTTAAACTTTTTAGAATATGGGCCATTACTCGAGAACCCCTTGGCCAATTATGTCAAATTTGTCACAGGGTATACTTGGCCCAAGGGCTCCCTTTTATACTGAAACTAGGCTTGTGACCATTAAACAAGGGGAGATAATTAGGAAAATAGAAACAAAAGCACTGGTTGCTAAAAAATCTTCTCAAGAACCACTGGGCAGATTATCACCAAACTTACACAAAAGATTGAGGATATGTTGTAGATTAAAAATTGTTCAAGGCATCACCCTGGGGCAAAGGGCATGATCTCAAGGTCACTTCAAAGTTGACCAAAATTACATTGCTAACTATAAGGACAAGGATCATCAAATCTTGTCAGTTGATGCATCTAAGGACCTCATATCATGTTGACTCTAAAGTAGGTCACGGTGACCTACTTTTTAAATTTTGCGGCCATTCTTTTTCAAAATGATTTTAAGGCATATTTTGAACAATTTAAGGCCTATTATCATCAATCTTTGTCAGTTGATGTATCTTGGGTCCTCAGAGTAGGTCAACTAAAAAGAAGATCACCTTGACCTACTTTTTGAATTTTATGGCTTATCTTTTTCAAAACAATTAAGGTTATTAATTCGAATACTGAGAGGTTTAGAATCATGAAATCTTGCAAGATGGTGCATCTTGGTGCTATGAAACATATGTATTAAAAAGTAGGTCACAGTGACCTACTTTTTGAACTTTGCAGGCATTCGATTTCAAGGCATTTTAGAGGCATAATTTGGTCATTTTAAGGCCTATGATCATAAAACTTTGTAAGTTGATGCATCTTGGGTCCTCAAAAAACGTGAACTGAAAAGTAGGTTACTGTGACCTACTTCTCAATTTATATGACTATAATTAAATATTTCAGGTACTAATTGGCTTAGAATCATCAAACTTTGTCAGTTGATGCATCTTGGGTCTTCGGAGAAGGTCGACTGAAAAGTAGGTCACCATGACCTACTTTTGAAAATTTATGGCTTTAATAAAATATTTCGGGCACTTATTGGCTTAGAATCATCAAACTTTGTCAGTCGATGCATCTTGGGTCTTCGGAGTAAGTCGACTGAAAAGTAGGTCACCATGACCTACTTTTGAAAATTTATGGCTTTAATTAAATATTTCAGGAACTAATTGGCTTAGAATCATCAAACTTTGTCACGCGGGTATGTTAAGGCTACACCCAGAGATATCCTACTTGCCTTTACAATATGACTCATAGTAAGCCATATGACGTGAACTTTAGAAATAATGATTTTTTAATATCTATATTTAAAGTTTAATTTCAGATCCAAGAAATAGATGGAATCATTCAAAACATAATATAAACTAATTCTTGTCGTTTTGGGGGTGGTATAAATAGCTTATAATTTAGCACGGGGGTTAAATACCAAACTCATGACGTCATAACTATTGATCAAATATTTGCCGAGTGAAATTAAAGGTGACGAGAATTCATGTAAACAAATGTATAAAATGGGAGTTTTAAAGCATATACCGTGAATTTCATGTGTGATTCATAAGGAATTAAAGATTAAGAATCAGGTACGCTGATATATTCTTATCATGTTTTCTCATAATGAATATAGGCAGTGCTTTGATATCCCGATCAACCTTCCCTCTGTCGTTCTATAACTACAAAGATACAAAAGTTCAACACTATGCCGCATACTTTAAAACATAAGTTTTGTTTATATCGAAAGATTGTATTCTATTAATAGTGCTTGGAACGTGTGATTAACATGAATTGATAACAATTCCATGATCGTATGTATAAAATGTAAAGATTTTGGTAAGGTTTCATGCGAAACTTTGGAATATTTTTTTCTGTGTCGGGAGAGTAGGATTCTAGCATCACTTTCTATGGCCCAGTGATGTTTTTACATAATTATTTTCACTAAAAGAAATGAATTATCTCCGGGGTAGTCTTGAAATTTTCACTTTTTCATGAAGGCAATTTTTCTATTTATAGACGTCACGTGATGACGTCGTAGTGGAATGCTTCTTTTAGCCTAAGACTCAATGACGTCTATACATGGGATAATAATAGTAAATGTTTTATCTATGGCTTTTCCGAATGATAAATGTTACATTTTACGAAAAAAGTCTAAATTCGCCGAAATATGATCTGGGTACTACCTTAACATACCTGCACAGTTGATGCATCTTGGGTCCTTGGAGTACGATAACTGAAAAGTAGGTCACTTTTGGGTCCTCGCAGCAGGTCGACTGAAAAGTAAGTCACCGTGACCTACTTTTCAATTTATATGACTATAATTATACTTTTGAAAATTTATGGCTTTAATTAATCATTTCAGGAACTAATTGGCTTAGAATCATCAAACTTTGGCAGTTGATGCATCTTGTTTCCTTGAACTACGACAACTGAAAAGTGGGTAACCCTGACCTACTTTTGAAATGTTATGGCTGTATTTGATATTTTCGGGTACTAGTTGGATTAGAATCATCAAAATTTGTCAGTTAATATATATTGGGTCCTCACAGTAGGTCAACTGAAAAGTAGGTCACCGTGACCTACTTTTCAATTTATATGACTATAATTATACTTTTGAAAATTTATGGCTTTAATTTATTATTTCAGGAACTTATTGGCTTATAATCATCAAACTTTGACAGTTGATGCATCTTGTTTCCTTGGAGTACGACAACTGAAAAGTAGGCCACCCTGACCTACTTTTGCAATTTTATGGCTGTATTTGATATTTTCGGGTACTAGTTGGATTAGAATCATCAAAATTTGTCAGGTAATATATATGGGGTCCAGTAGGTCAACTGAAAAGTAGGTCACCGTGACCTACTTTTCAATTTATATGACTATAATTAAATATTTTGGGTACTAATTGGCCGAGAATCATCAAACTTAGTCAGTTGATGCATTTTGGGTCTTCGGAGTTATTTGACTGTAAAGTAGGTCACTGTGACCTACTTTTGAAAATTTATGGCTTTAATTAAATATTTCAGGTACTAATTGGCTTAGAATCATCAAACTTTTTCAGTTGATACATCTTGGGTCCGCATAGTTAGTCGACTGAAAAGGAGGTCACTGTGACCTCTTTTTGATATTTAATGGCTTTTTAAAAATATATCAGGTACTTATTGGCTTAGAATCATCAAACTTTATCAGTTGATGCATCTTGAGTCCTCAAAGTATGTCATCTGAAAAGTAGGTCACTGTGACCTACTTTTGAAATGTTATGGTTATAATTTCAAAAATATTTTAGGTATTAATTGGTTTAGAATCATCAAAGTTAGTTGATGCATCTTGGTTCCTTAGAGAATGACAAGTGATAAGTAGGTCACCATGACCAACTCTCAGGTACTAATTGGCTTAGAATCATCTTGGGTTCTCAGAGTGTTTCATCTAAAATGTAGGTCATGATGACCTACCTTTGGAACTTCAACGGTTTATCTAAATATTCAGGATACTTAGAGGCTTCAAAGAGAAGTGATAGGTTGTACAGTTCATCAGAAGAGCGATTCAAGGCCTTTGGGCCTCTTGTTTAATTTACAGGTTATTTGATTGAATGAGAATACTAGAAAGAATGTAACATATTGTATATAGAAACAAAGTAATAATGAATGTTTGATTTAAATGAGCAAAGCATGATAAAAGTCAGATTCTTGCCTGGAAAGCAAATATAAAATATTGACATAAAGATTATTTATATACTTAGCAAAAGTTGTAATTGTACTCAGTATGTTTGCTTTGTGGTGATCTGTTTGACAGTAGATGAGTTATTGTCATTGGTAGAGTTGTGGTTAACAAGAGACTGGATAAAGTTGTTTTATACTTTAACAAAGTGAACAATGAATATCAGAGAGCCAGGGTGACTTATTGTAATTAGTGACAACTGGCAAATAGCCACGTTGTATACCCAAATCTGTGTACTGAATTGTTCACTTTATACATTGTAATGGTTTTATTCTGTGAATCATGCTATTATAAAGGCTTCCCAACAAATTGAGAGGGGAATAAAACAAATAGTACTTCCGATTGAAATTGATTTTTAAACTCTTCTCATATGTCATGACCCCTTGCGGATAGGTCGGTGCTGCAATATGGGGTCAAACATTTCTTGGGAACTACAATAAAAAAAGATGTGTTTGTAAAACACTGATGTTTCCTTGTGACAGATCATGGCAAAGGTTGAGGTTTCTCAAATGCAACTCAAACTCAAAGGTCGTGATCAAAGGATCAAAATTGTTACCCAAGGAAAGGCCTCATCACCGGCAAAACATGTGTGAAATATTAAAGCCCTCGAACAAACCATTCAAAAGTTTTGGCTAAGTTTAAAGTTTTTCAAAAGTGGGCCAAACTCCAGGGTCAAGGAGAAAGGGTCAAAATAAGAAATTCATAAGTGAACTATATGAAAGCCCAAGAACCAACTGTTCAAAAGTTATGGCCAAGGTGAATGTTTTTCGAAAGTTGGCCATACTCCAAGGTCAAAGGGTCAAAATTGTTGGCACCCAAGGAAGTCTTGTCACAAAAATATACCTGTGAAATATGAAAGCCTTAGAACCAACCGTTCAAAAGCTATGGTGAAGGTTTAAGTTTTTTTTAAATGAAGGTCAAACTCATAAGTCAAGGTCAAAAGGTCAAAATTGTTGGTACACCTGGAAAGTCTTGTCACATGAAGTTTATCCGTGAAATATAAAAGCCCTAGCACCCACCATTCAAAAGCTATGGCATGGCCAATATCAATTTTTTTTTTTCAAAAGTAGCCAAACTCCAAGGTCAAATTTGCTGATACATGTACCCAAGGTAAGTTCTTGTCACAAGGATATACTGGTGAAAACTGAAAAATATTCACTTTACCTTTGAGGGTTGGAAAATCATAATTGTATTTGATTTCAAGATTTTTTCGCAGTCTTACTATCAGAGTATGTTTTGTTGTTGTTTTTGTTGTTCAGACAAGGGCATAAACTATAAAGCTGGTAGCAAAGAAATAGCTGCCTACTCTTAGATTTATTTACATCGAAGCTATAAGGCAGGCGACACATGCGTTCCTTGGAACACTCTAGTTTTAATGTTTTTGTATTTTCAATAAAACTTAATTCGTACAATAACAGAACATAACTTTGTTTTTATTGATGTTTCTATTTAGATGATATAACCATGGTAACTAAAAATTGAATTTTCTGTGAAAATCTTATCTCAATAGCTACTTTATTTTCATTTTAGGCCTAATGATAAAATTTCAATGAAACTTGGAACAGCGGTAGATTCTATCAGAATGATTACAGTACATGAAGCTACAGTATCTAACGATGGAAAATTCTTACAAAATTGTACTTCTTTGATTCACACTTTGCCATATTTTACATGTTTTAGTCAAACATTATATACACGATTGATTGAATAAAAATATATGATTCTATATGTAGATTTTTGACTTCGACAAACGGTTTTGTGATGGTTAGTAAAAAAATGAAGTTTTTATGAAATTCTTTTTTTTTTTTTTTTTTTTTTTTTTTTTTTTTTTTTAAATACTGGCATATTCCTACAATTTCACTGTTTCAGTCTGATTTCAATGTTAAATTTAGATATGATGAAGTTTATTTTGTTGCCTTTATAATTTACAATTAAGATGTTTCAAAAACATCGATACCCTTAAGAATTTTGTTTAAAACGTTAAACATCAAACTAATTGCAACACTTACAGAAATATTTTTGTTATAAATACATGTAAATTTTAGAATGCACAAAATAAATGGGTTTAAAAAATCTAACAAAAAGGGTTGAGGGGAAAGTATTATTTTGGGTCCATAAAGAAACTGGGGGGGGGGGGGGGGATAAGCCGAGCCATATGCCTACATAACGATCGATAAAAAATCAATAAATTCATTTTACAAAAATTTCACTTTTTGTTGAATTAATGTAATGCTTATTACCATTTGCATATAAATTTGACAAAACCTGAATACTGTAACAGCGAAAATGATTCTGATTAACACAACAAAATGGCATCACGCTCAATTTTCACAGAAACTGACATAAATTGGATTATATAACTACATTTTTTAAATAGAGTGGGTCATCGTACCATTTTTTTGAGAACGATTAATGAAAGGCAATGGAAAGATGTTGCTTTTTACACTTGCAAAAATTTGGTATGAAGACCCACTCTACATAAAAAAATAAGTTAACTTACTTAAATTTTCACCGTGGTCTTAAAAAATTCTAAGTCCAAAAACGCTTGCTAAATATAGAGAACTGTATGCTATTTAAATGGAAATGTTAGTGTGACTCCGTGGTCTAGTGGTTAGCGATGAGCTCTTTAAAGGGACGTTTACCGAGGAAAGTGTTCGAGTCATGCTCTTATTTTTTTTTTTTTTATTTATTTTTTTTTTTTTTTTGTTGATTTTTTTGGTTTTAATTTTGTTTTTCTTTATCAAAAAATGTGTATAGGAATAACATATTTTTCACTGGAAATAAAATGTATACATGTAGTAATGAACTTATTTACAGTAAATTATTTAAAATGCCGGATAAAAATTATAATAGATATTTGAATACTTTTATTCCCGTTTTATTTATTTTAAATAAAAGCGCTTCTAGATCACCATTATCATTATATACGATGTTAACATTTTTATAATATCTCCACAATAAGTGTAAACACTCAATATGCAGATTAATTAATAGAAGTCCTTACCCATGTTAGACATTTGTGACAGTAAATGAAAGTCAACTGTTTAGCTTGTTTAGAATATAAACATCATTTTGAAAACTACGGTAAACATTAAAATGCTTAAGTAAATTCGAACAATTGAGAGATTTTTTCCAATAAATGTTCTTGCATAGCCGAAAAATGGGCATGGGCACATGGCTCGTCTTATCCCCCCAGATTCTTTTCTTAAACTGACTTTTCTACCCAGCAAAAATTTAACTAATAATGATTATGTAAATAAGTATATCTCTCCCACTCTTCAGTACTACTGGTCATCGATGTACTTATAACAAAAATTATTATTTCGACAGCCTAACCTTGACCTTTAAATAAATCAGTCACCTTCAGGAGAACTCCTATATTTATCCGGAAAAATATTTGGTGTGTAGATGGAGTTATCAATTAGTGACATACATTTAAGTTCCTGGTATGCAGTGCAATGTGGAAGGAAACACTTGACTAGTTTTTTAATCGATTATAGTATCTCCTTACAATGTATATCTTTCATCATCGATATTTTTTTAAAGTTAATTATATCATTTGTTAGTAAACAAGCATAAAAGTACATGACAGTCCTTGAAATGGACGGACAGGAGCCCGGGATCATGGATTACGTTCACCTGCAAGGTGTACAGATAATCCATCAAATTCAACACACATTCCGGGTATGTCTGAACGGGGACATATCATACTAAGCATATATGTCCCTAGTCTTAATATACAATATTGTTGTGAATTTCAATTAATTGATCAATACTTTGAATTAAAAATTGAAACGAAATATTTTTTTTATCTGTATGTAATTTATTTTGCACACCTGAAGCACCATGTGGACCTGATGCAGATGTTGACTCGTTTAGGAGATCCCAGATACGCCTTTCTGATCTATTTCCCACTGGCTTACTGTTTCCATCGAACTACTGGAACCAGAGTGCTGTGGATTGCCTGTTTGTCTGAATGGTTGAATGGTGTCTTAAAATGGTATGATGCTATGGGCACATAAAATTTCATCATTTTTAGGGATTAGATATGTTGGGGCGCCATACAATCCTGGTATAAAGGCCAACAACAAAAAGTGATTTGTCTGATGTACTCTGACCAACCCATCAAAAACACCCATACCCGATCATTTTTTTTTTCAGTCCTCTAATTTTTTGGTTTCCAGGGAAATACAGATTGTCTGGATTATTTTTAAAGTTAATTAAAAGTTTCTCATTTCTCAAATATGCTTTTTAGAGTGAAAGTTTTTAAGCAAAAACTATGAAATCTCTCTAGTTATCCTGTATGTACATTGTAATGGAAACATCCATAAAGTTCTAAGTCTGCGATTATAATGATGATTATTAATGTGTTAGATACTTCATGAAAAAGAAAAAAAAGTATCTACCCTTCATACCTACCTTCCCCCTTGAAAAATGTGGGTCGGAGTACATCAAACAAAAAATTTTTAATGATGACCCAAGAAGTATCACTTTTGTGTCAAATGTGTTTACATTTAGGATTTTACATGGAGAGAGACCATATTGGTGGGTTAATGAAGTCAAACTTCATGATCATGTTTTGAGTATTCCTTCTTTGGAACAGTACAGCCTCACTTGTGAAACAGGACCAGGTAGTCCTTCATTTGATATCAGCAATAGAAATATTAATTTGTAAAAATATATGAAATGTGTAAAGAGCATAACAGGATTATATTTAATCTGCAGAATGATCTTTAAAGGGATTATTTTGCCATTTAATTTGGTTTAAGGTACAACACTCTTCTCAGCAAAAACATTGGAACTTATTATGTAAATAGCTCAGAAAGTATATAAAACACTTAGCAGTATGTCATGTGACGCTGGGCAAGCACCAAATGAAATACATGTATATAATATTCACATGTATTAGTGATTGATGCCCAATCCAATAAATGGATAAATTTATGCATGTATATTATCTACATACTTGGTGAACTGTATTTTACTAATGTGTCCTATATTTTTACTGTAGGTAGTCCATCGGGACATGCTATGGTCACCTCTGCCGTGCTCTACTCCATCGGTACATCTTTATCAAACATGGACTGAAACAGACAAGGTACCGTATTTATTGGAATAGATTTCAAGGGATTGATGTTTTTTACTATTGGATCTACAAGACTTATTATATTCAATGCCCTGAGAATTTAACTGTGATGCTATATTTTTACTTGGCTTTTTCACATGTTTCAGACGATTAGAGCAAGTGTTAGTGTGGATCTCCTTTGTTGTGGTTCTTGTAGCAGTCAACATATCCAGGCTATTTATAGCGACACATTTTCCTCATCAGGTGGTGGCTGGGTCATTGACAGGTAGGTAATTAGGTTATTAGTAAGATGTATGTCATGTTATAGAATTGATGACTTTTAAAGAAAGTGCCTCCATCTGTATACATGTATTGTCTCTGAATCTTTTGTTGTCATTGTTTTTTTTTATGATGCTTCATACAATGTAGATTTGTATAAGATTTTATAATTGTCATGTAATCAATATAAAGAGGCTCTTTTAACTGTTTCTTTCTCTGGCAGGAATTTTACTAGCCGAGGTTGTTAAACATGAGCATACCTCTAACCTGTCCTTTAAGCACTACTTATTCTGGAGTCTATTTTTAATAACTGGAGTGTTCTTGACTTATTTTGCCATTTCTGTTCTTGGACTGGACCCTCTATGGAGCCTCACTTATGCCAAGAAATGGTGTGCTAATTCAGACTGGGTTCATCCAGATACAACCCCGTTTTTCGCTTTTGTACGAGACGTGTCCTCTTTGTTAGGTATGAATGGGGTTTTAAAGTACTTTATTTAACGTTTGTTAGTATGTTATGTTGATTTTCTGTGTACAAATGTATATAGTACCATTCCAATACTTTTTTAAAGAAAACAAAAAACTATCCCAATTCATGGTCAAAAGAAATGTAAATATGTTTTATAAAGATCATGAAGATTGTAATTTCATCATGTTGATACAATTGTAGTCTGAGGTCAGTTTTCTGAATTGAAATCACAGCATCCACTACACTTCAATATGTATAGAGTGATATGGAGAGAGATTTCAATTATGTGCTTACAAGAAAAATATTTTTTTACTCAGTTCTGGAAAATAATGAAATCAATAATTTACTTGATATAATGATTTATAAATTTTAGCCATCCTTTGGAATCCCCATACCAATGTTGTACTGTTGTTTAAAAGGTGTATATTGTTTGAAATGGCACATGTATCCCTTACATGATTAACCAAGGCCAAGTAATATGTCAAAAAAAGACTTGATGGAGGCCCAGGATTAATATTACAGTGGTACCTCGGTATATTGCCCTCCGTTATATTGCCACCCTCGCTTATTGCCAGGAATTCTCAAAGAACGGATTTCCCCCTGTGTTAATACACCCGTTATATTGCCACCCCCGCTTATTGCCATCCGCCACTGGTTTTGGGAAACAAAAGGTCAAATTGTGTAAGGAAAACCCTCGGTAACAATGCCAATTATCTAGCGTGTGTTGGTAATTTGGACACCACACCCGTGCTTTGACAGTGGTTGCGGTGAAGCGTGACTGGCTGGACAAGGAATTTAGCTAAATTAAAGATAATCGTTGTATAAAACTCAAAATTAGCAATGTCTTTGGCGTGTGTTTATAAGATAGAAGATAAATATGGAAACGTCAGGCGAGAGAAAGCGTAGATTACAAAAAAACAGATTGATCAACATTCGATCTATTTGATTGTAAATTGCCGATTATTGCTTATCATGGATAATGTACAAAACCATAATAAATGCAAAAATTAATTTATATCCCCTATCCCCTTAGATTAAGAGGCCATTCTATCGATCAAAAAGGAAACCCCATACCTATTTTTAGACTACTATAGTTCCGCGCGTGAAAATATTAGGGATTCCGTTAGGCTTGAAATTTTCTTAAATTGTCGGACATATATCGGTTTGATTGATAAATATCAAAACAGAATTGGAAGAGAAGTACACCTCAGGTACTAGCAAACATGAGAATGCATGTTTATTATAACGGGTTGACGTACTCTGACATGCGACTTACCATTCGTCAGTCATGATGCTTTACCAACCGAACTTTTTAACTGATTCAGAAATTCTTGAGACGGTGAAATAATCTACTTTCGATTCAGATGAAATTAATGATAATTTTCAAAACCCTTTTTTATACCAAGAGGCCATAACGGCCACTGACATCTTTGTCATCCGGTTATCAAATTCTTAGAGCATGACACAGGAAATTGATGTGTTCAATATTCTAGTATTTTATTTCGATCTTTTCCGTCAAAACATTGTAAACAAAGGGAAAAAAAAAACAATAATAATGACATTTTTCCCCAAAAAGAAATGAGAGCTGTCCCTATACACATGTGGCATAAATAGATTGTAACTGAAATAAATTACGTAATAAATTTATTTTGTTTTGATAACCAACTGAATTGTAATTTATGGCAGAATTCGTTATATTGCCACCCTCGCTTTAATGCCAAAATCTGTCTTGGACAAAAGTTGGCAATATACCGAGGTAGCACTGTACATCATTTAACACTTATATTTTTTTCTGAAAATGACAAATATAGATATTATGATAAAAATTATCAGTTATAATTTTCAGTATGTTTGTTTGTAGGTTTTGGAGTGGGTGTCTTGTTTCTAAACAGGAAGAAGATGGCAGTAGATGTAGGGATGGGACAAAAACTTGTTCATGTTGTAATGTCACTAATATGGACATTAACCATAGAAAACTTAAAGTTCTCAACAGCGACTTTACTTTTCTATGTGGTTGGATTTCTAAAATTCAGTACAATGATGATTGGAGTAGTGTATGTTATACCATGGATTGTTTTTAAAAATAAAATGAAGGAAAGTTATTGGTGCTTTGCGTATTTTTTACTGAGTTTTATATGTGTAGTGTGAAAAAACAGATAATAGTTGAGTCCGTGTATTGAACAATGTGAACACTTTTAAATTCATTTAATAAATATTAATTAAATGTAGAGAAATTAAAATCAACCAAAATTATTATATACCAATGACAATACCGTTGATAAAAATTTCATGGTGTACATCTTGACTAAAAGATATTTGTATCATTTAAACAAATATATGTAACAGATTTAAAATTTTCTAAAAGAAATTTAATCTTTTTATCCATAGGCACTCCCCAGCTTAATATTGTTAAAAGATATATATCTATACCATACTATAAACATGTCTATAGTATAATAGATACATATTTTTTAACAATTAAGCTGGGGAGTGCCTAGTATGCTTTTATCTCAACAAGAGGTCTACGGGCCTCTACGATCACCTTCGTATCAAGAGTTTCTCTTGATATAAAAACTCTACATGACTTGCGGGACATGGATTGTATAATTTTAGAAGGAAAAAAAATACAAGTACATGACATAGGTGAAATACATTTTTAAAAAAGTATATCTTATTAAAACATAGATAAAAGTTACAAGTTAAGAAATGTTGTGGCCATTTATAATAATTTTTTCTCCATTTTTGCGAAAGGATTGTGCAGTTGGTGAAAAACGTCCATTTAAAGGTAATTTATTCCATAAATGAACACTTGAATATTGAAGAGAATTTTTAAACATATTTGTTCGATACTTTGGTAGACTAAAGTCATAATTGGTTTCAGGACGTAAAATATAATTATGAGAGGAATTGATACAACTAGTCTCATCTTGAGGCCTGAGCCCTGAATTTGTGAGGCCATAACTTTTACTGTTTAGGCAGAATGCTAATAAACTCATGCAAACCTTTTTTTTTTTGTAATGACTATGAGTAAAGGAAAAGATCTTTGAAGATAGCATGATATTGATGGTTTTCGAACCATCGCTAAGACACAGAGTAATGAGGACCATGAGTTTCACTATTGTTATTCCCTTTGGCTATGGATGCCCTGTATGCCACTATATGTTGAATTGATTCAGCTATTTCATGGACTAAAAGAAACTTAAAATGTTAAAAAGCTTACGAAAAATCTCGACAGGTGACAAAGAACAAGAACAGATAGCAGGTTACATGTGTCACTCCGAAGCCTGATAAATTTAATGAGATCATAAATAGAATGTTTAGTGCTTCAAGTTTGCTTGAACAAAAGTTCAAACAAGCATTAAAATTGTTAAATCTGATGACTTGCAACATCTTTTCCTTGTAACCCTATTCAATCTGCTTACACGAAGTACAAATTTTCAGTAAAAATCTGAAGCCACGATTCCTTTTCATTACATGTAATCATAAAGAATTTGATTCTCACAGATAGACCGAAATATGTTACCTTTTCCAGGCGTTTTTCACGATTTTGATATTTGACGTGCCAGGAACACGTTTTCCTGGCACGTCAAATATCAAAATCGTAAATACGCCTGGAAAAGGTAACATATTTCGGACTTTCTTACAGAGTACCTATGAAAAACACACTCCAAAGTCAATATATTTTATTATCCCAGTACAGTATTTGTATACTGTGAAAGTGGAAATTTTGACGACGTGCTAATTTTGACTATATTGACGATTTTTCTTTCCACTCGTCAAACTTCACATCATTTATATAGCGTCACAACAGACATTGACCGTTATACAACTTTATCGCTTAATTTTCTCGGCTTCCCCCCATTAAAACTAGATCAAAGTTACTCTTTAATTTTTTTGTGAATAGTTATGAAAACATATAATCACAGTTCTAAAAACCATTGAGTATGTCATATACTATAATTCCGCACGGTCACAACATTCTAACATTGCGTAATTATCATGCCGTGTATGACCTACTTTGTCACCTCAGGCAATCGGTCTCGCATTATGAGAACAAAATACAAAAGAGCAATTAATTCAATCAAATCTAATACACTATAGATGGTTTTTACAAGCAAAATTAAATTTTATTGATGAGAACGCTTGTTAATGAGTTCCCGAGGAAGTCGCGGTCCTTACGTATAACATCGTGAACTTTCAGGACCAATTTCGCATAGAGCGACTTAATCGTAGACGTTCTCAAGTCAACTAAGCCAATGTTTCCATCAAGTTTTTGGTCCTCTAGTTTCTTTCGAACTTACTCCGAGTACCAGTTATGAAATTCGTTTTTTGAGGAGTTCTTTGTATTCATTTTTGTTTTAATCTTGTGAAATCAAAGATACATAACTCTTGCTTCAATATTTAGTCAAAATTAACACTCGTCAATTTTCGTAAACAAAAAATCGTCAATTTTTCAACACGTCAAAATAACCACGTTTACAGTAATTAACTTAAAACACAGTTATGTATAAATCCGTTTCAGAGAACAAATGTTCAAACAAGCATTTAAAGATATGCTTTTTATATATGAACCTTGCAAAGTATGACAGTTCTACTTAAACTGAACAACTTTTGCTGCCTTATATTGCCTATTTGAGAATACTTTAATATAGGTCACTGTGGTTGTACATTTAAGATGATAAATAAACTTTGGCAGTGAACATTGCTTATCGCACAAACTCCTGTGCTATTAAAGGCGCCAAATATGGATCCCACAAGAAAAGTACAAAATGCCTTACAGTTTTCACACACAATGTAGAAGCTCAATATTTTACACTTTCCAATACTTTGTTAACTCATTTGTATTTAGGAAATGTCGATCAGTAATGGAATGCAAAGGACAGATTACATGATCTCCTTTGCGAATGTCGTTTTCTGGCAAAAAATGTCCTTCTATGTCCATAGCAATTGTTTCTTCTTTGTCTTGTTCTTGACATTTAAATCCTCTAACAAACGAGATCTTTCTATGAAATGTCCCCGTAATATCATTTAAAACAGCTTCAATCCTGTCCTGAATGTCGTAAGTTTTATCCTTTTCCAAATCACCTCTCTCCTCAGTTGGAAATATTTGAAGCTGTATAGATACGGCCGTGACCGAGAGAACGATATTGTATCCATCTGAAGAAAATAAAGCGACATTTTTGTTGAGACATGGCGTATCGCCAGATTTCAGTACAGTCCAACCTTTTTCTTGCATACAAGCAACAACAAAGCGAAAAAACAGGAAATAAGGCAAAAACCTGAATTGATAAATAAGAACTGATGATTTACTCTTCGACTTATTGATAAGAGCTGGGATGTCTTTCTCCATCTCTTTCCGGTTCATAGACGGAACGTAGTACGATGGTTTTCTAATGGCCAGCAAACCAAGCCTTTGCATAAATTGCAAAAGTAATTCTTTATGATGGAGTAGATTTCTTAGATCTTTCACATACGATCCAGTTCTTATTTTGTATTTTGCATCTTTGTCTTTCAGCTCTTTATGTAAAATATCATCTTTATTTTTCCAAATTTCTACCAAGAGTCCTTCTTGCAGATGTCCAGTTTCGTAGGATTCATGCCATTCCTGTTTAGATGCAGCAATACCTTTTAGGTGTAACTTGTCTGTAATGATATGTTTGAACGCATCAATAAACCACTGAACGTCCATGATAACAGATTTCTCAAGATCCTTTTCATTAAAATAAAGAACTTTGCCTGCGTCGTGATAGTATCTCAGCATATCTTTAGTTGATCTCGTTTTGTAGTCTGTGTTCTGTTGATCTAGCTGTAGTTTGGCTCTCCGGAATTTTTGTTGCTAATTTCAAGACGTCTAAAACGCGGTAGGAATGTTTGGTCTGGTTTAATTCTATTTCAAAGAAGGTCCATTCTTCTCAGAGGCTATTTCGACAAGACGTTCTTGTAGTTCATGAAGCGAAACCGGAAACTGTACGAAATAACAGTTATTCTCGATGACATACTGCGATAAATTAGAGGTAACAGGAAATTATTTCTGTAAACATTCCATAAAGGCGTTTTCATTCTGGAATAATTTAATTTTTTTTAATTTTTCGACATTATGAATATGTAATAGTAATATTCATTTAATGTAAAGTGTATACTGCACCGTAAATGCTTACAAAATTAATTTTGTTTTTAAAATAATAATATATATTTACATTTGCTGTGCTTTTCGACTAAGCTAACTGTGAAATTGATTTAAAGTGAAAGTTATTTTTGTGTATACTAAAGTGTAGAAATACGCGCTAAAATGATGTAACAATGAGGCTATAGAGACGTTAATAAAAAGGTAACCATATAGGGCAGCGAGAAATTCAAATATTGAGTATATTATTGGTGCTTTTAAACTTGTAAAATGTAACTATAAGAATTTTTTTCAAGTTTAGTGTGAATTATTTGTGTGTAAATCACACAAACTTGGACGTAGGCATATTTTTATGCCTACGTGCAAATCTGTCTGATTTACATATCAATAACGCACATAAAACTTAAAGTTTTCAGAGAGACACTGTACATGGTATTTGGGTTGTCAATAAGAAATGAAACAGATTTTTTAAAAAAAAAGCATGTTGGGGTTTCCTCCCCTTAGTGAGGGTTGAGAGGGCAATACCAGAGTAATTGGGGAATTATGTCATTATAGGTGAAGAAATTCCCCAGTCCCACAGGTCTTAAGGACAACCCTATACATGTAAATATAATATCACAAAGTGATATCATAATTGGAAATATTTACTGACTTTGTCTTTATAGTTTGTGAAAACCTATTGATATCAAGTTTATACAACTTACATGTCCAATCTATAATGATTTATATCTATCAACTAATTTGATTCCTAATTGTTACAGGTATATGGAAAAGATGTATAGAAACACACATTAAAAAATCAGTATGGAAGTAAAGCTGAAGGAAGAGCTTAAAGGTACATATACATATACTGTGTGTTTATAATTATATGTAAAAGTTTTATCAAATTATTTCTAAAATTTACTCAGTAGCTTATACATCAAGTTTCACTTATGAAGCAAAATTACCTGCTTTTATTATGTTATAGCTGAAATACATGTAAAAAGTGAAAACTCTTGAGCAGCAGTCCACTTGTTAATTCTTGTTCTCATTCGAGTATATTTAGTACTCACATATATTAAGGATTCTACAGTAAATGTTGATGAATGGATTTTACACTCAATAGTTTCATAATATTGATAGATTTCACATGTAAATGATCCAATCCTGTTTGGAAATAAAATTTCAATTGCATATTATTTTGAATTAGTTCTTAAAATAAAATCTCAAGTGTGATTTCTGTTTCATTTTATGTGTACATAACTGGTTATAAGTATTCATGTAACTATGAGGATTATTAAGTATTGTATAGTTAATATTAAAATTAATGTTTATTCTTTAGCAGAAATGTGTTCCTATTGACAAGGCAACAATTGAATCAAACCAAACAGGTGATCACTTACTGTAATATAATATAATATTTTTAAGGTACTACATAATAATAAAGATAATGTCAATGTTTAATATCTCAAAAAATAAAATTAACAAATATGTTTCATTTCCACACTGAAAAATATAACTAAGTGGACATTGTTATCATGCAGTTCAATGACATGAACCAGAGTTTGTACATGTGGTTAACATTTTATAATGTATACATACAAGTTACTATAATCATGATAATATACATGTAACTGCTCATTCACATTATTGATAAATAAAATCACAAAGAACAATTTACGTCAAGATAGGTGCAAATGGTGAAGATGCCTGAATATGTGACTGATAAACTGAAAAGTCCAGTCCATATAGTTCAAGTTTTGAGCTTTAAAATTATTTAATTATGATTCATTCAAATTGTTTCAGCATTAGCATTTTTAGCATTAACTGTAATGTTTAAGGGTATATATACTTCATGGCTTTTTCAATTATTTTACAGAGCAAAGAGTGGAGGAAAATGGAGGAAGTCATGGACATAACAGAAAACATATGACCTAATACCTGCAGGTAACAGCCGCCAACCCCCCAACCCCCCCAATAAATGTTTATTGGTCTGTCCATTGGTCATTCTGTCTGTACATGTATGTACTATAACACTTTAATTTGGGAACAATATCTCTTAAAGCCTTTGAGCTTTTGCAATATCATTTCATATCACAACTCCTTACAGCCTAGAGAAGACCCCTATTGATTTGAGGTCAAAAGGTCAAGGTTGGAAATTCCTACAATACAAAAAAAATTCAAATAATAACTTTAGTTTCCCTTGAGCTTTTTCTGTTAAATTTTATATCATAATTCCCAATGACTTAAAGAAATCCCCTTTGATTTCAAAGTTAAAAGGTTTAGTTGAAAAATTCATATCTTGCAATAAATAATGTCCTGGTGATAACTTTGGTTCTCTTTGAGGTCTTGAATTTATTTCTTTAATAAAAAAAGACACCAATTGACTTTAAGGCCAAAAGCTGAAAGGTTAAGGTTGACCTTTTTCTTTTTCCATCTGCATGTTTTTTTTTGTCCAGTTCTTCCATCCTCATTTTTTTCCATAAGTGGGGGGCACAATTCTCTGAATTAGCTTGTTTTATATTTGGATCATTTGCAGCTTTGCATTAAACTCAATTAGCCATTTAAGGCATTTGGATATCTTACAAAATAGGAAATAAAGGTGATTCAGGCTAGCATTGCCAAGGTCCCTTTGTTGTAAAATTGAAATTATTCCCTAATTCCCAATGTCATTTAGAACATCAAAATACATGCTCTTTTGCTTTTGGGTATAAATGAAAATTTACTGTACTAAAATGTCTTCTTTGATTATCATAATTATTGCAATATCAATTATGAACTTTAATTCAAACATCAATTTGTCATTGCTTTTACAGATTTTGAATTCATATCATCAGTGCATCTAAATTGGTCAAAAGATGAAAGATCTCAGCATAAATTGTTCAATCATGCAATGCAAAGCATATCCTGTCAAATGGAGATTACCCTACCTTAAAGTGTCAAGTATCTCAGAAATTGGACTATTTGCAATACTGTTCAGGAATATTTTACATATGTCAGTACATTTAGCAATAGGGCCTGTTGCACCATGCCAAGGTACAGAAGTGATGCTTCAAGCTGTCGACGGCATTCCAAAGGAAAAGGATGAAACTTTAGTTTAGCTCACCTGAGCCGAAGGCTCAAGTGAGCTTTTTATGATCGAAATATGTCCATTGTCTGTCGTCGTGGTTGTAAACTTTTCACATTTTCATCTTCTTCTCAAGAACCACTGTGCCAATTTCAACCAAACTTGCCACAAAGTATCCTTTTGTTCAAATGAAGGGCCACACCTTCTTCCAAGGGGAGATAATCATGAATTTGTGAAAAATTGATGGCATCACCTAAAAACTTGTCAAGAACCACTGTGCTTGAAAATATGAAACTTATATGGAAGCATCCTCAGGTAGTGTAGATCCAAGTTTGTTTAAATCATGACTTCCGGGGGTAGGGTGGGGCCACAATGGGTGATCAAAGTTTTACATAGGAATACATAGGAAAAAGCCTTTTAAAATCTTCTTCTCAAGAACAGCAAAGCCATAATTAGTCATATTTAAATGGAAGCACCCTCAGGTAATGTAGACTCAAATTTTGTTCAAATCATGACCCCCCCCCCCCCCCCCCCCAGAGAATAGGGGGGCCATAACAGGGGATCAAAGTTATTCAAAGGAATACAAATGATATATCAATAAAAATCATCTTGTTAAGAACAGCATAGCCATTATTTGTTATATTAATTCAAATATTATTATTTTGCTTTATTTCAGTGTAGTAGCTTCAAATGAGTTTTTAATTTTTTTTTTATTTTTTTTTTTTTGACAATTTAAAATTAGAGATCATCTTAGTAATAAAATTTTTTATAATGTTGCTGTCTTTAAATTTTCTATGTAAAAGTAACATGTACATGTACATGATACATTTGGTATTTTTCAAATGCAGTTGAAGGAATTTAGTTGAGCATTGTCAAACATTTCATTTAAATACTAGTTGTGTTTTTATGACTTTATGGTATTAAAAAAGACATAAACTTTGTTCTGTTCATTCATTTGTATAATTTTAGGGCAAACAAAATCAGCATTTGTATAAAATGTTTTGCATGTTTAAAAACAACTTTTGCAATGAAGAACTGTATGAAATTTGGGCAACACTGTGAAAAAGTGGATTTTATTTACTGATGTGTTCACACTTTTGAACACTCTCTCTGTTAAACTTGCAATTTTATGTATTTGCAGTTTTTGCAATGTGCATTTTCATGCTAAGGGATCCTGTAAAATGAGCCCCATAGCTACATGTATAGCCAGTTCATTGCTATAATACATTAAGCCTTGTCAAAAACTCATGATTTTTAGCTCTACTGGTTAGAGACCAGAAGACCTTATGCGATAGTAAGGGGTTGGTCGTCTGTCTGTCCGTCAACAAAAGCTACTCCTCCTACAGTTTTGGTCTGATTTCAATATTACTTGGCACACAAGTAAAGTACACTGAGATACATAATTTTTTTTTATCGGATTTTGATTTTGATGAACGGTGTTGCTATGGTTACTAAAATAGAAATTTCTGTAAAATTCTTTTAAAATCTACTCCCCCTTTAGTTTTAGTCAGATTTCCATGAAAAGAGACCAAATCAAGGATCATTATTCTATTTATTTCTGTTGCAAAGTTTCAAGTCCAACTGCTACTTATCTCTTCCTTTGTTAGAAGTACAAACCAGTAGAGCTACAGTCTCGGAAAAGACTTCTGGTTAAACAAATATTCAAATCATGCATCTTTGTGACATTCTGGATAAATATAAGCTAATTTCAGTCATGAAGATTGAAGATCATGTGCCTGAAATGATTTAATGTTCAAAATGTAATCACTCCAGTAGTCCAGTATGCCTTTTCTACCCAGATATAGTGTAATTTTGCTAAGGTGAAAAGATCAACTAATTCAAATGTGCCACCAAATTGCCTGTTATTTTTACTTAAATATCTTAAAACAAATACTTCTTGATAAAAAATATAATCACTGAAGTGTCTCTTGAAATTCTATGCCTGTTTTTTCTACAGAATATCCCTTAGAATTATTGTGACCTTTTTGCACTTGCAGTTCTGCACTTACAAGAGTGAAAACTCCATTAATTTAAATTTGCAACCAAAATCCCATTAATACTAAATAATATATTTAAAAACAATCACTTTTTAAAAATATGAAATCAATGGAAGCGTTTCTTGGAATTTTATAGCTGTTTTTCTGCAGACTATTCAAATATCTTTATTTCTTACAATTATCGTGACCTTTTTGCACTCGTAGCTCTTCACATTCAAAAAGGTATGTGGAAAAAAATTCTGTAAATATTTTTTTCAAAGGTTTTAATTCCTTAAATCCATTAGTTATGAAGATATTATGGAATTTTTTTATACACAAACAGAATATGTACAAAAGGTGTTATTTTTCCCTACTGGGTATAGAAATAGGCTGACGATAAACTAATTCTCCCTGTATCCATGGTAACAAATCAAATGACGTCACCAAACTTACTCAGTAAGTAAGTGACCTTGATCTCACTTTGTATGCAAAGTTTCAAGAAATTTTGAAAAACTTGCTTTCATAGCATTCTGCATGGTTTTCTCGTAGACACGCATTTAAAACAAAACATTCCGAACAGGTCCAGCAGCTTTTTAAAACAAGATTATTATTGATTAAATTTTGGAAATAGCAGATCTATTACATAATTCCAGGCATATTTGGGTTGAATTATCATCAATGTCTCTAAATTTTAAAGATTTTAAGAATAATATTGCAAAGTAAAATGGATTTAGGCTTTTTCTGTCAACTTCTCTGTAAAAAGTCAAAGGAAAACACATTTTGACTGCCACTGGAAAAGTGCAGAGTGTTGAACATGTTGAATAGGGTCAAAAAATGATAGAACAAGGACTTAGTCTACAAAACAACACATGCATGTAGTACAAGTCACTCAATATGATAAGTGTATAGGCTTTCAATATTTTGACTTGACAACTTTTTTAAATCAATAAATGACCTTTAAAATCACTCTCATAGCATTTTCACATTATGCATCGAGCTATAAGTGAGAATGTAATACCAGTTTCAGTAAAATACTTTGTATATAAAACAGGATACGACATTCACAATATCCGAGTATAAATGCTATACTAACAGATTAATTCAAAGAATCTTTGTCCCCTGCTTAAGAAAAAAGAAGAGCATGTATGGATCTAGAGGGATGGGGGTCAGAGGGTGGTGGAAGTGGGCGGAAGGGACACTTTAAGAGGGGCGGGCGGATCCACAGAGAGTATTGATATAAAATTTCATTGCAAAAGCTTAAAAACTTCTTGAGATATCACTCGGGTATGAAAGTTTTACACACAAACTAAATTTTTGACCTTGACCTCTGATCTTTTGACCTCAAAATCAATAGGGGTCTGCTTTAGGCCATAGGGAGTTCTGGTATAAAATTTCATTGCAAAAGCTTGAAGCCTTCTTTAGAAATTGTGCGGAAAAAAAGTGTTAAAACAGACAGAATTTATGAATTCATAACCTTGACCTTTGACCTTAAAATCAATGGATGTCTTTCTTAGTCCACAGGGGGTTGTTATGTAATATTTCATTGCAAAGGCTTAAAGGCTTCTCGAGACATTGCGCCGAAACGAAAGTGTAATAGAAAGACAGACTGACGGAAGTACGGTTGGATGGACACAGACCCAAATTAATATCCCAACTTTCAGTGAAAATGGGGGGGGGGGGGCAAAAAGGCAAATTTTATATACCATTGTGACCTTGAACTTTAACCTTCTGTCTGTATTTACCAGTTCATGTGATGCTAGTTATTGTCCACCAGAATTGTAATTTGTTTCTTCATAATTATGTTGTTTAAAACACAAGTATGAGTTATGACACAGAAAAAAAATGTGCCAAGTTTCCTTAAATTTCCATCTAAATCGAGCCATTTTGACCTTGACCTTTGACCTTTTTTCATGAAAATTGATTTTTCTGTTTGTTTTTGCTATTGTGTATCACATATTTAAATTTGGTTTTAATCCATCATAAAATACTCAGGTATTTATATGGAAACTGATTGTAGAAACCCATTGCCCTTGTCTGGAATTCTTTAAAAAGGCGTAAGTTTGTAACGATGGTAACATGAAAACAAAATATGAATACCAAGTGTGTCTTTGCAGTTTCTATTAGAACTATATATGGACTTTTAAACCAATGTATTTATTTTTTCCCAGATTCCGCAAAATTTTATACCAGGCTTTTCAAATGAGCCTTAAATCTACAATTTTCCCCAGAAAAATCCTACCTAAAAACGAGCAATAATTTTTCTACTAGGTAAAGTTACTCAAATACTAGAAATTATATAAAGAACTATTAAAATGATCTTTTCTGGCAAAAAGATGAAGTCATGTAAATATCTTGTTGTATTAAAGACTTTTAATTAGTCAAAAGGGTCATTTTTCATCAAAATTTAGCATTTTTAGGCCATGAAAAATGTATGCTTACAGGGAATGGCTATTAATATGCAGGTTGTTGTTAAATGCAATTAACCCCGCCATACAGATTTCGACTCTGCAGAAAAGCCAAGTGTACTTGAAATTAAGCCTACTTTCCTCATATCCGTCCTTTTTCTTCTCCTACGAATAATAATGGCTATTACTATGACGAAGATGATGGTAAAGATAATAGCTGTCATAATGCCAAATGAATTATGTCTCCATCCTCGGTTGATACGCCAAATGTACTAATTGTAGTTGAATCCTGACAGGAGGTATCGGCGACAAAAGATTGGAGCTGTTTGTTGATGTGTTGACATGCCGGACTAAATTATAGAATGAAACACCTACATGTTAAAGATTTACTCACAATTATATATTCTATTGCTGTGGTACGCATCATCTTAGAAAGTATGAACAATTTGCTTTGATACAATTTCCCTTCTGTAGTTTCTAAGCAATAACCTATAGAACGCATTACACAAACATAAGTGCTTCAAGTCATTTTCAAATAAATCACATAAAAATGAGCACACGGCGCATTGGACCGGTTGGCAGGGGATGCTTACTCCTCCATGGCACCTGATCACACCTCTGAAGTTTTTGGAGGCCAGTGTTTGCTCTGCTCCTGATTTATATTTTTTCTATGGATTTTTTAGCTTGATTCCATATTTGATAGTAAAGTTCTCCTTAATTCCCCTTCACAGGAACACAAATCTGTAACTCATGCTATTTTTTAAAGATTTGTTTCAGATTCAGATACACTCAAAATATTCACTGAATATTATCTTCTTTGATTGACGTCAACACACCGGTCAACACAGATGCTTACTCCTCCTAGGCATCTTATCCTACCTCTGGAATTTCAGGGGGTCCGTGTTTCATATCCTTGTATATTTACAGGACTGCTTTTTAAAGCTCAAAATGAGAAATATCGCATCACTAATCTTAGACTAAATGTTTCTTTCATTGGTAACTTTAAATCTTTTATTAGTCAAAAATTTGTTGAAAGTATTTTTTATTTGTAAAAATTTTATCTCTACTAATTACTTGTCAGTTTTAAAAATCTTGAG